CTTGTAATTTGGGCCTTTTTGTCATGTGTTAGGTGGTTGCTGGAGAAACAATAGATCCAATTCCCCACCAACTATTGAGAAAGTACATTGGTTACGCTCGTCAGTATGTCTCTCCAAGGCTATCCACAGAAGCTGCTCAGATTCTTCAAGATTTTTACCTTGAGCTCCGGAAACAAAGCCAGCGTTTAAATAGCACACCAATCACTACTAGACAGCTGGAATCTCTGATTCGATTAACGGAGGTTTGTTTAAGCTGATATTTTTTTAACTTAAGGAAGGGGAGATAGGAGTAATACGGTTTCTCTCAATTTTCTATGATTGATTTGGTTTTTCTTTTTACAGGAACGTATTAGAAATAGATAAAGTTTTGAAAAAAAAATAGATATTTTCTTGACTTTAGAGAGGGAGAGGGGAAGGGAGAAGGAGAGGGAGTGAGAGATAGAAATATCAATGATGAGCAAATCATTGATAGGCTGCCTTCTTCACAGCCCCCCAATGGGGATCGAACCTACAGCCCAGCCCCGGCATGTGCCCTGGCTGGGAATCGAACTGTTACCTCCTGGCTTACAGATCAACACTCCACCTTTGAGCCACACTAGCCAAGCATGCAACCTTTTTTTTTTAATGACACTTAGGAAACTCTGTAGTGTGAAAAGTGGTTAGGTTAACTGAAGATGTTGAGATTTACATCTTCAGTTAGGTTGAATATTTGAGAACATGGAATGTGTCAAATACCTTGAGTATTTATTTGGTTTGATACACGACAGGTCCATAGGATAGTGCCCATTTTCCTAATATTAATAACATCTATTCACAGCTATGGAATGCTAAGAAGATTCTGGCAGTTAAAATTAGTTGAGTCAGGGTTTGGGCTTTTTGCTTCTAAAATCTTACCAACTCCTCTTTGTTATTTTAACACAGTGGTCGGCAAACTGGCTCGTGAGCCACATGTGGCTCTTTGGCCCGTTAAGTGTGGCTCTTCCACAAAATACCACGGCCTGGGCGAGTCTATTTTGAAGAAATTGAAGAAGTTTAAGTTTAAAAAATTTGACTCTCAAAAGAAATTTCAATCACTGTACTGTTGATATTTGGCTCTGTTGACTAATGGGTTGCGACCACTGTTTTAACAGATTGGTTAGGTATGACTTCCTGAAAGTAAAAGGCAAGGAAAATGCTGAAACCGGTTTGGCTCAGTTGTAGAGCATCGGTCTGCGGACTGAAGGATCCCAGGTTCGATTCAGGTCAAGGGCATGTACATTGGTTGCGGGCACATCCCCTGTGGTGGGTGTGCAGGAGGCAGCTGGTCGATGTTTCTCTCTCATCAACGTTTCTAGCTCTCTATCTCTCCCCCTTCCTTTCTGTAAAAAATCAATAAGATATATTTTTTAAAAATAAATAAATTAAATTAAAGGCAAGGAAAAACCAAGTATATTTCATAATCAAATCTTCTGAAATGAACACTCAAAAAGATACATTAGTAGATAAAAATAAATTTTAATCCATATTTTAGTATATGTTCTGCCAAAGTGAGCACTAATTTATATTTTAAATGAGTGATTATTTTCATACTCAAGTTTTCAAATCGCTTTTTAAAAATTCTGACTTTCATATTATAGTTCCCTTCCTCAAAAGTCAATTTTTGTATAAAATAAACAAAATCTGAAGATATAACTATACCTGTTCAAAAAATGTTAAATATATATGGTGTCCCCAAAAATTGTATTCACACTTTGAATGATAATAAAACCAATATTTATTAACATACAGTTGATTTTCAATGTTTAAAAGAATCTACAGAAATGAATTATTTCTTTTTTATCAGTGCCTGTTTTCAAACTGATGACTGTTCTCGTTCAGACACTGTTGATAATTCGAACTAATGGAATTGCAAACATCAAGAATCATTTTGTTTGGTATTTGTGTGTACTATGCATTTCCTGGACTCTTGCTGGTTTTGTACCATAAACTTTATCTTTTATCTATCCCCATAAAAAAAAAAAAAAAATCCAGTGGCTTTTCAGGATAAATTTTTTTTGTTCAAAGCTTATTCTGGTTTCACCCATCATTTCAAATCAATTAAACGTGAAAAGGAGGGAAAGTTAAATGTTATCAGCTGTTAAAGTGCATATACATTTGGGTGGGGGAGACCATATATTTATATTTTGTTATCTGAAAATGGTTCACAGGCACGAGCACGGTTGGAATTGAGAGAGCAAGCAACAAAAGAAGATGCTGAAGATATAGTAGAAATTATGAAATATAGGTAAGATTAAAATTTTTAATGTTTTAGCCAAAGCCGGTTTGGCTCAGTGGTAGAGCGTCAGTCTGTGGACTGAAAGGTCCCGGGTTCGATTCCAGACAAGGGCATGTACATTGGTTGCGGGCACATCCCCGGTAGGGGGTGTGCAAGAGGCAGCTGGTCGATGTTTCTCTCTCATTGACGTTTCTGGCTCTCTCTCTCTCCCTTCCTCTCTGTAAAAAATGAATAAAATATATTAAAAAAAATTTTTTAATGTTTTAAATTAAGTACCAGTCAGCTTTCCATCTTAAATATAGATTTTAATTAGGCCAAGTAAAGTTGTTTATTTAGCCCATTGGATCACTTTTTTCTCTGAACAAACTATATTTTCTTGGTTTAAAACTTGTGTAAGTAATCTTGACACTAAAAAAATTTTTTTGAATGGGTAATACATTCACATAGTTCTAAAGTCATTTCAAAAATACATAGTTAGAGAAGACTTGCTCCCATCCTATTTACCATTTACCCATCCTTTACCAAAACACCTATTACTTTTTTTGTAAATAGCATTTGAGTTACACTGTTCTGTATCTTTTTTTTTTAATTGACATTATATCTCAAGATCTTTTCCTATTAGGACATAGAGAATTCTTTTAATAGCTAAATAGTATTCTATTATTTAGATACATCATAGTTTAAGTAGTCCCCCATTGCTAGATAAATGAATATCCTTTAATCCTTTTCCTTTTACAATTTTGCAAAGAGTAATCTCTGTAAGACACTTAATATGTGGGTAAGTGTATACCTGTATGAGAAATTCTCAGAAATGATATTTCTGGGTCCAAGTATAAATAGATACTTTAGGATGTTAACAAATATTGTTAAATTTTATGCTTTGTATTTTATATGGTTTGGTAGATCATGATTCTTGCAAGGTGAAAAAGAAAAAAATATTATCTTTTAACTGATTGTATGTCTACCGAAGACAGTGGTCGGCAAACCTCGGCTCAAGAGCCTTATGCGGCTCTTTTCCCCTTGAGTGTGGCTCTTCCACAAAATACTACAGCCTAGGCGAGTCTATTTTGAAGAAGTGGCATTAGAAGTTGTTTAAGTTTAAAAAATTTGGCTTTCAAAAGAAATGTCAGTCGTTGATATCAATGATACTGTTGATATTTGGCTCTGTTGACTAATGAGTTTGCCGACCACTGACCTAAGACATTAATTATTATTATTATTATTATTATTATTTTAATTTTTTAAAATTAAATTATTATCTGTGTACATATTTTAACATTGTCCCTCTCTCCCACAAATACCCTCCCTCCCCAGAGTTTTGTGTCCATTGGTTGTACTTATATGCATGTATACAAGTCCTTCGGTTGATCTCTTATCTTCCCCAGATCTTCCTATCCTCCCCGCTGTAATTTGACAATCTGCTTGTTGCTTTACTGTCTTTATATCTGTCTTTTGGTTCATCAGTTTATAATGTTCTTTAATATCCATAAATGAGTGAGGTCATGTGGTATTTCTCTTTCATTGACTTGCTTATTTCACTCAGCATGATATTCTCCAATTCTATCCAGGTTGCTGCAAATGATGAGAATTCCTTATTTTTTAAAATATATTTGTATTGATTTCAGAGAGGAAGGGAGAGGAAGAGAGAGAGAAACATCAATGACGAGAGCCTCCTGCAAGTCCCAACCTGGGGATTGAGCCCACAACCTGGCATGTGCCTTGAGTGGGAATTGAACTATGACCTCCTGGTTCATAGGTTGGCACTAAACCACTGAGCCATGTCATCTGGGCAGACATAGATTATTTTTACTCAATAAAAGCAAAAGCTTATTTTAGATTTTTTTTTTCAGTTAAGCATTTTTAATAGGTTCACACATTCATATGCTTCTAAAGTTTAAAAAGCATACAGTGGAAAAAGCTTGCTCTTACTGTTTACCAGTTACCTATTTCTTCCTTCTTTTGCCCCAGTAGTGGCAACATTATCTTTTGTGTTGTGTCTTTCAAATATAAAATACCCAGTAGAACTCGGTGTATTCTTTTTCCCTCTTTATGGAGAAAAGATAACATGCCATACACATTCTATACCTTGCTTTTTTATTTACAGTGCACCTTGGAATTCATTCCATACCAGTGCCTAAAGAGCTTCCTTTTATTTTTATTTTTTTGAAAATGCATTATATTCCCTTGTGTGTGTATAATAATTTAGAAATTGTTCTTTTTAATATGCTCTCGTAGCAAATTATATATAAATCTGTTAAGAATATACTTTTCCAAGGCTAAAACTATATTAACTTAAAGATGAAATTACTGTGTTAAGTAATTTCTATTTGAAAGTAAATAGATTACCCCCCAACACACACACACACACACACACACACACACACACACACACACTCCACCCAAGAGCCCCTGTTCTGGGGCTTGCTTGGAGTCAGAACCAGGTGACATTGCCTCGCTGTTCCCCTGGCTCTGAGTGAAAGTGGTACAGCATAGCTGGAAGAGCATGGGCTTTAGAGTCAGACCTGAAGCTACACAGTTAAACTCTGCTTCTCAGTCTCCTTTTGTGTAAACACACCACGAGCGCAGGTGCTGAGGTAGCATGCAGTGAAGCTATATAAAGTGACAAATATGGTTCTGGTACATTAGTGGACACTGTCAGTTGACACTGTGCTTATGACAAATAGCACTAGCTTTGATGATATTAAGATGAGACTGAGCAGACCTCCTTTTCTCTGACCTATATCACACACTAAAGGTTTCAAAAACTGGCAGATCTCACATCAGTCTTCTATGCCTTCCATCTAAATTTTCTCTTAGCTCTACGCTGCAGATTCTTCCTTTCCTCATAGGGAGAGAGTTTACTGGTTGTCTCTTCATTCCTCGGCTGGTACTGGCCTGTCCGTGGGGGCCACTCTGTTCCCTCTGCCACTAGAAGCATGCTATAGGTGTAGAAGGGCACCCATGCTGCCTCCTGAAGGTCTAAGCCTTAACCTCCAATTTCTTTCTTGCCCTCTAGGCAAGAAGTTCTTAAAAATGGTAATGGTCCAAAATATTTTAGTCTCAGCCAATGCTATAGTGAATATCATAGTGGCCACTCAATAAATACATGTTTAAATCTCTGCTGCATGAGGCCTTATGATAATTTCACATTTTTCTTATAATCTGGAGGTCTGGATGATCTATAGCCATGCCACCTTGAGTAACCTTGTTTTTCCTCCTCTCCCATAAGCATGCTGGGAACTTACTCTGATGAATTTGGGAACCTGGATTTTGAGCGATCCCAGCATGGTTCTGGAATGAGCAATAGGTCAACAGCAAAAAGATTTATTTCTGCTCTCAACAACATTGCTGAAAGAACTTACAATAATTTATTTCAATTTCATCAACTTCGGCAGATTGCCAGAGAACTAAACATTCAGGTATGATAAGCCAAATACTTAATTTTTTTTTATAATAATGTCAGCAGATCTTTATTAATGTATAATGGAACTTTTAAAATATCAAAGTATTTGGGTTAAAAGGATGGAATAGGCACCCTGGCCAGTTACTCAGTGGTCAGAGCATCAGCCCTCAGACTGAAGAGTTGCAGGCTCAATTCTTGGTCAAGGGCATGTAGGTTGCAGGTTCAGTTCAACCAGTTGATGTCTCTCTCACATCCATGTTTCTCTCTTTCATTCTCTCTCTAAAAATCATGGGACAAAATATCCCTTTGGCAAGGATTAAAAAAAAAAAGAATGGAATAGGCATTTTGGAAAACAAAAACAAAAAGAAGCTTGTTTTCTTAAGTTATGAAACTAGCTGTGTATAGCTTTAAAGAAAGTTTTTATCTTTACCTTCTTTTTGAAGGTTTTTCAATATCATGATAGTTACTGGAAAACGTTTTTCGGACAATCCCTTGTGGACAAGTGATCTTAATATCTTTGAACCTCAGTTTCTTCATTTGTTAAATTGACATGGTTCCACCTGCTCTACGAATGGAAAAGTTTAGTGAAAAGGATGTAGGAAGACTTTTTTGTTTATTATTTTATTTGTTTTTGTTAATTATCACCTGAGGATATTTTTTTCCATTCATTTTTCTTACAGAGTGGAGGGGAGGAAAGAGAAACATTGATGTGAGAGAGACACATCAGTTGGTTGCCTCCCATTTGCTCCGCAACCAGGGCTGGCCTACTTTCTAATCATTTAGCAACACTGGCTAGGGTTATTTTTTAATTTTATTTTTAATTATAGATGACATATCATATTCATTCAACATTTATATACCTTACAAAGTGATCAGCACAATAAATCTAGTCACCATACAGAGTTATCTTATTGACTCTATTCCCTGTGCTATACATCACATCCCTATGACTTATTTTATAACTAGAAGTTTATACTTATTAATCTCCTTCCCCTTTTCTGCCATGTAACACAATTTATATGTAAAATTGCCTTCTTAATTTCAAAAGTTAGACAAAATTTTTTTGAACGCAAAGCTAAAACAAATATAAAAGATTCCCTGCATTATAGAATCTAAAGTTCATATGTAGACAGTTTTATCTATAAGTACAAATAATTTTATTTTCCTAAGAAACTTGACAATTGTACATTTGCTTTTGAGAGATTTTTAAAAATCATATTTTGGCTGAAACTGGTTTGGCTCAGTGGATAGAGCGTCAGCCTGCGGACTGAGGGGTCCCGGGTTCGATTCCGGTCAAGGGCATGTACCTTGGTTGCGAGCACATCCCCAGTGGGGGGTGTGCAGGAGGCAGCTGATCGATGACTCTCTCATTGATGTTTCTAACTCTCTGTCTTCCTTCCTCTCTGTAAAAAATCAATAAAATATATTTTTTAAAAATAAAAATAAAATCATATTTTGCACTTTACTTAGTGGTCTCTTTTTGTTTTGTTTGGGCTAACTCTTGATGTTTTTTTCCAGGTTGCTGATTTTGAAAATTTCATTGGATCACTAAATGAGCAAGGTTACCTCTTGAAAAAAGGCCCCAAGGTTTACCAACTTCAAACTGTGTAAAAAGACTACCAACCTAGGACCTCCTGGGTTAATTAGCATTTTAAAGCCATCTCAAGAATGGAGAATATGCAGAAAAAAATAACTGTTCTGAAAAATGACATCCCAAAAGTAATATAACGAGAAAAAAGTATTGAACTAATTTAAAAAGTGATAGTCATTTGTTAATTCTCACAATTTCTTCTGTAGGTTATAAAGAATTTTTTAATCTCAATGATGCAATTATAATTTATTTATAGTATTTTTTATATAATTATACAATTATAATTTATTTATAGTTTTTCTTTTTTTTTAATTAAATTTACTGGGGTGACATTGACTTCTTTTAGTATTATATTTCATAGGTGTTTTTGTGTGTGTGTGTATGTGTGTGTGTTTTGTTTTGTTTTTGTTACTCCTCACCCAACAGTATTTTTCCCATGGATTTTTTTAGAGAGAGTGGAAAGGAGGGAAAGAATGGGAGAAAGAGTAACATTGATGTGAGACACATCTATTGGATGCCTCCCAAAAGGGCTGGGGATTGAATATGCTACCCAGGCATGTGCCTTTGACTGGATATCGAATCCGGGACCCTTCAGTGCTTGGGCCAGTGATCTAACCACTGAACATCACCAGCCAGGCTATTGCATACTAAATGTCCACTTGGGGAAGCATTCACAGTTACTTTTTAAAATCCTGCCACCTCCCACCTGCGCACACCGTATGCACTATAAGTTACACTTTTTTTTTTTTTTCAAGTTTGGTATTAATTTTATTCTATTTTTTGTATAACTTTAAATAAAGTTTTATTTCTTTTTTTTTTTTTAATATATTTTATTGATATTTTACAGAGAGGAGGAAGGGAGAGAGAGATAGAGCTAGAAACATCAATGAGAGAGAAACATCAACCAGCTGCCTCTTGCACACCCCCTACTGGGGATGTGCCCGCAACCCAGGTACATGCCCTTCACCGGAATCGAACCTGGGACCTTTCAGTCCGCATACCGACGCTCTACCACTGAGCCAAACCGGTTTTGGCTAAAGTTTTATTTCTAGAGGCCTCAGGAAATGGTAGACGTCATAGGACAGTCTCTCTTCTCAGGAAAATAAAGTTGCATATATTTTGATACGTGTTTATCCTAGAGAGGAAAACTGCAATTTACATTAACAATACTATTCAAGATCCTTACATCAGACTAAAAACCAGTCTACATTATAGATTTTAGTCCTTTGTTCAGGTGCCCGGACAGAATCCAAAAGCTGTCTAGCTTCAGTGAAGATGGATGACAGGCATCTGGCATGGAAGAAGGAAGGAATGCAATCCCCTAGAATGGTGGTGGTTCTCTTTTTAAGTCATCTCTGTAGGAAGGTGCTGGGCAGGCATTGCCACAGCAGCTGGTACAGGAGAACCTACTGTCTCAGGTTCAGGCGGAAACAGTTTTGCTTAGAATGCTAGATGGCCAAACTTCAGCCTGTGGTCCAGTGCAACTCTTGCCTCACTTGTCAAGAGTGAAAAGTTAGTCTGTTAGAAGAACCAACTGGAATCACACCACCTTTGGTACCTCATGCTCATTGTTAGGGAAAGATTAACTTTGAATTTTCTGAGCTGTTAATTCCTAGGGACTGCTTTATTCCTCCCAAAAGACTATAGGTGAAATAATCCTCAAAGGCTGAAAGCTAAAACCTACCAGTCCTGCAGAAGAGCAGCTGACCTGCTATCCCACCCAAAGCTCAGCCTGAGGTCTATTTCAGTGAAGGCAGGAGCTGTGCTTCTCAAAGCAGAGAAGCGATTTAAGAGCAGAAAGATAGAGGAAAACTACAAAAGAATTATCTTTTTTTTTTCTTCTTTTTTCTTTTTTTTTTTGTGCCGAAACCCGGGAACAAAAAGAATTATCTTGATACAAACTTATCCCATAGTGTGAGGGAGAGGGCAAAGAACCCAGTGACATTTTGCTTATCCAGCAATTTCTGTCTCTGTGGTGACCAACTCCTTCCCATTCCATAGGGTCTTGAACTACTCAGGGAACTCATTAAAGTGTCCGTCTTCTGAAGGAATGAGGACATTCATCTCAGAAGATTTGGCACTGTCTCATAATCCAAGGAATTCTAACTCAGGTAAACATGGCAGCCATCTGTTTTGTTATGGAAATGGTTGGCATTTTACCCATTACCTGAACTTTGACATCTCTACTATTATCTCCACAATGCCCAGCATATCATCGAATACCAGACTGAGTTTCTTATAGTGAGCTACTGTAATGGAGTTAATTTTGCCTTTGATTTGCAAAGTCGTGTTGACACTTATATATGTAGCCATCTGTTTTATCTTTGTCATCACCTGCTTTTGGAACACTGTCTCCATATCCATAGTGCATGTCAGAGGCATGGGACACTGCCTTCAGGTGGCCTACCTCCCTCTCCCAACTTTCTACCAGATTTTGCATGTCAGCCAAAACGTACCATCTCAGGACTGTCAACAGCCTTTCTCCACTTCCCTACAGTTACTTTTTAATGTTTGAATAGTTCTGACACACACAAAAAATGAATTTATCTTTCAAAAATAAACTGAAACTAAGTTTCAATTTATTTAGCTTAACATTTTAGTTATTGATAAATTTTTAAGATGTATTATTTTTATTACTAAAGATAAACATGTGCCTATCCTATATAATAAAGAGGTAATATGCAAATTTGACTCTCATGTCCTCACACAAGATAACCACCCCCATGTGGTCAAAGATGGCTGCCACAAGATGGCCAGCAGGGGAGGGTGGTTGTGGGCAATCAGGCCAGCAGGAGAGGGCAGTTGGGGGGCACCAGGCCTGCAGGGAAGGACAATTAGGGGCAACCAGGCTGGCAAGGGAGGGCAATTGGGCTGACAAGGGAGCAGTTAGGCATTGATCAGGCTGGCAGGCACATGAGCAGTTGGGAGCCAGCCGTGTGAAATTGTGAAAGGGATGTCCGACTGTTGGTTTAGGCCTGATTCCACAACTGGTTAGACATCCCCCAAGGAGTCCTAGATTGGAGAGGATGCATGATGGGCTGAGGGACATACCACACCTCCCAGTGCATGAATTTTGTGCACCAAGCCTCTAAGTTTTAAATAAATAACTATGCAAGGCTTATATTAAAACCTTTATTTCTACATTCCCTAATTTTTTGCTGAATTTCAACTGTGCTCCTATTTAAATCCATTTTTCTAAAGACATGCTAGTATTGCCCTAACTGGTTTGGTTCAGTGAATAGAGTGTCAGCCTGTGGACTGAAGGGTCCCAGGTTCGATTCCAGTCAAAGGCATGTACCTTGGTTGCAAGCAAATCCCCAATAGGTGGTGTGCAAGAGGCAGCTGATTGATGTTTCTAACTTTATATCCCTCTTCCTTCCTCTCTGTAAAAAATCAATGAAGTATATTTTAAAAAAATAAAGACATGCTAGTATTGCTAATTCTTAAGTTTTTGGTTTTAAAAATTAACTTTTGACTACAGAAGGTCAGAATGTTAAGTACTTTTTTGTACATATTTATATACTTGCCAATTTCTAATTTTGTAGTATCTCACAATTTTGTTAAATGTATATTCTGCCTTTGCATTATGACAAATACTATTCATTTCCTTATATTTTTTGTTTTCTCTAGAATAACTGGATTTTTAACTACTTAATTTTCTATGAACCTCCCACTAATTTGACCTAAGGCTCCACTGCAAGTCTAAGTCTCTTCTTAGAATGTACAACTCAAATACTGTGTCTCTCTTGGAAACTTTTCTCCTGGAATTCTTTGGTCTTTTCCAGTCAGAACTACACAACTATCATCTTGGGACTTCTCATTTTCTCTCCCATTTGCTGGCTCCTGTGTCTTTTCTTGTTTTACTCCCTCTTTTTGGTAGAACCCATCTTTTTTTCTTTTAATTTTTTTTAATTGATTTTAAAGAGAACGAAAGAGAAACAGAAGCATCAGTTTGTTGTTCCACTTATTTATGCATTCATTGGCTGTTTCTTTGTATGTACTCTGACCAGAGAATCCAACCTGCAATGTTGGCATGTTGTGTCTGCTCTAACCAACTGGGCTACCTGACCAGGGTGGGAAGCTATTTTCTAAGTAGCTTCCTGAGTAAGAGTTCATAAAGGAAATTCTACCCTCACCCCTAGATTGATAGTTTGGGCATAGAATTTTACTTTGGAAATCATTTTCACTCAGAATTTTAAATATTGCTCTGTTGTGTTTAGTTTTCAGTGTTGCTGTTTAGATATCCAAAGGCGGTTTCAAATTTATTCTTGGTGTGTGACTTTTTTTTTTTTTTTTCCTATTGGCACCTTTCTCCCATGATGTTCTGAAATTTTAGTTTTTAACTCTATCATGCTTGTTTCTCATGCCAAAAATATCGGGGTTATGTTTAGTACTTCTTTTTCTCATCCCCGTATCCATCAAAGCAAATCTTTCAGCACTATCTTCAAACTATCTGGAATCTAATTACTCTTACTTATTTCCAATTCCACTATTCTGGCCCAACCCATCATCTCGTGTCTAACTTCCTAAAGACAAAGACTTTGTTTTATTCACTGCTATTGCCATAGCAGTTAGAACAGGTTTTAATCACTTGCCTTCCTGTCCCCCAGGGAATTTTACCTTTATTCTTCTCTCTCCTAAGCTCCAAGAGCCTTTCTTTAGCCTCTATAACTTACTTCCTGAGCCCATTTCTTCTATAGTTCACTTCTTCCACCTGTGACTTCCTAAATAAACTTTCTCTTATAGATTGAGGCTTGGCTCTGAATTCTTAGCCAGAAATCAAGTACCAAAGTTGCTAAACCAAGGTCTAATCGCAGGTAACATTCTGGTGCTATTTTCCCCACACCAGCAAACGTATGATCAGATCACCCTGTGATGTTACTTTCAGTTACTGAACTTGTACATACCCCCTTTTGTGTCCATATAACAAGCAATACGAGAGACATAGACAAAACAATGAAAAAAACCCCAAGAGTTCGTAGGCTCCAGAGCTAGCGTCACAAATATTTTCTCCTGCTCACCACTTCTACTTCCACTGAACTTTGCAGACAGAGATCAGAGAGCCTGTCAGGGTATGAAGCTTACCTCTTGCTGGCTTTTGTTACAGATCTTACAGGTGTAGCAGTCCTAGGAGCTAGCAGTGGTCCAGCCAGTGAGTTCTGGCTGGCTCTCCAAAACTAGGGGAGGAAAAATAATTTTCCTTCCACCCTTCTAGGTTGTTCTGCCTGATCTAAGAATCAAACTGATGTGAAAACAGATTAGCAGAATGTGGGGAAAGAGGCCACATACTAAACCTGATAAGCTCAGGGGAGGACTGCATGGCGGCCTTTACAAACTGAAGAGATCAAAAGGAACCACGATAGGATAGTCTGAATATAACAGCTGGCCATGGCAGGTAATCATGCCCTAGGCCTGTATCTTCCTTGACAAAGGTCAATCTTTATATTAGGTGAGCCTGTCTCTTTTCTTCTTTATATCTAAGAGAAGTTTTTTGTCTAAGATTACTTTGAAATATCAAAGTAATTTTCTTTTGCAGACCCCTCAAGGCCCAACTGCCAACTCTAGAGAATGAAGCCACAGAAACCCTCATTATCTTGTTGCCTGTAGTCCATCTCTATGTGCTATAAATGTTATTAACTGTCCTGTACCCACCAATGTAAAAGAAGTGTTTCTCCATTTTGCTTTTTATCCAGAGATTTCTTTGCTTTGCTTTCTCCCATCCTTTTATTCTATCACCGATTTTATGTAACCCTCTTCACCTCTCCTCCTTTTATTTTATTTTTTTAATATATTTTATTGATTTTGTACAGAGAGGAAGGGAGAGAGATAGAAACATCGATGAGAGAGAGTCATCTATCAGCTGCCTCTTGCACACCCCCTACTGGGGATATGCCCGCAACCAAGGTACATGCTCTTGACCGGAATCGAACCTGGGACCCTTCAGTCCCCAAGCCAACGCTCTATCCATTGAGCCAAACCGGTTTCGGCGTCCTTTTATTCTAAAGTATAAAATAAGCTGCAAAACTGTCATTCTCCAGAACATTTTTGTTACCAGACTAAAGGTAACTAAAGGGTCCATTTCCCGGCACACATCAAAGCCCAATAAGATGTGAACAGGAGTTGGCAGCAAAGAAAGTAAAGATTTTAAGGAAATGGCACCAAACTCAGAGTCACTCAAACCTAGCTCCCCAATGGCCCACACAAGAACAGAGTATATACAGGAAAAATTAACCATGATGATTAAGGGAATTGGGGTTGTGAGCTTTACTGATTGGTTTGGGCCAGCGTAGGGAGTAGCTGGTCCTTGTATCAGGTCCTCATGTTAACCACGATGTCCTCTGTCTAGTTCTATGAGGGTGTGGTAACACAACTGAGATATTGTTACCTTTAGTTTGACCAAAACTCTGTTTCTGTAGTCCATAGACCTGAGCCTTTCTTATTCCTCAGAGAGTTTGATGCTGATCAGAATCTGATGTCCTTTTAGGGCTTAATGATAAAGGAAAGGAGTGGATGGACAGAAAGGAGAGCGAGGTCATGTTAAAGAAAGGGAGTTTATGTGCAATTACATTTTTTCAGTCCATTGAGATTTTATTTCCCAGCAATTGCTGTCAGTTTGGCTCAAACTCCTAAAAGTTCTCTACAGATTTAGGTGTTTCTTAGGTTGACAAGGAGAAAAGCAAAATGTAATTTGATAACATATATACCTCATGTATATATGGGAAGGACCCAAGAACACCAAGTAATTTGCCCTAATGGGAGAAGCCATCACCTTAAATCCTGCTGGAAACCAATCATTGTCTAATTAGAAAGCTGTGGGCAAGGAACCCAGAAGGCTGGTCAACCTCAAAGCTCTGAAAGGTCAGAGCCAACCACTCCCTATCTAATTGAGACAATGGTAGCTGAAGCAACTCCCCCACCAAATCATGTAAATCTTTCTGATAAGATAATCTGCCTGTTATTGTATCCCAAACCTGAATAAAAGGGATGGCAAGGCCAAAGCAAAGCATTGTCCTCCCACTAGAGTTGGGCTTGGCCCCCATTTTCCAAATTAATATTTTTCTAGTCTCTCTCATTTGTGTGCATCCTTCTCCTGAACCCTGAACCACAAAGGACGTGAAAGGGTTCCCACAAAAATACTTTTTTCTAAAAACAAAAAAAACAAAAAAGGTGTTGGAGGTAGTCAGTTATGAGATATTACCAGGAAAAGCACTATAAACAAGAGTAAGATTGTTATATACTTTTTTTTTTAATTTTTATTTTATTGATTTTTTTACAGAGAGGAAGGGAGAGGGATAGAGAGCTAGAAACATCAATGAGAGAGAATCATTGATCAGCTGCCTCCTGCACACCCCCTACCGGGGATGTGCCCGAAACCAATGTACATGCCCTTGACGGGAATTGAACCTGGGACCTTTCAGTCCACAGACCAAGGCTCTATCCACTGAGCCAAACAGGTTTAGGCAGATTGTTATATACAATTAAATTCATGCCTTCTCTACTGATAATGAAGGCAGTCCTGGCACAGTGAGGGAAACATGCTTAAAAGTGGGGATTTCCCTTATAAAAGTAAATACCCTTTCAGAAAGAGCAACTTCTACTTGGTCTTCAGAGATTCTCCCATGTCTGCTGTTTCTTAAAAGGACCCAGCCTAAAATTATAGCCCAAAGAGGCATATTTGGGGGAGGCAGACAGCTCCCCATCAGCCGCAAAAACACACACATCCCATTTCATTCAGAACTGAATATGAAAACAATTCTGCAACATTGCAATATTTTTTTCCCAAAGACAGATTCTTTATTTTGATACAAAAATAAACCCTTTAACCTCTGTCTTTTTTTTTTCATATTGTTGTAGAGCAAATTTACAGAATATCTTCTAACAGCTCCAAGGATATCACATATGATTTGGAAAAAGTCATTACTACGGTATGTGGATTCAAACACATAAGTGTGGAGGAAGGAATTATCTCCCTCTTCTGACTTTCCATAATTGTTTCTAAATCATCACAGGAAAGCCAGTGGTTAGAATGTCATATAATTATGCCTGAATCTGCTAAAGGAGGTGAAACCAGACATCTGAATCCAGCTAAATATAAAAATGTGACCTTTTATCACCCTCCTCTTCTGCCTCTGGGTAGGAAGGTTCTACTTTATATCACCATGGGCCAAAAGTAGGCTTGAGTTATGAGATGCCTTTTGGTTCTGGTTGCAAAATATGCCTTTTTGAGGGTTTAACATCTCCTGGAAAGAAGTAAGCTAGAGGCAGACCGCTAATCTGGATTTGCTTAGATGGAAAACATTTACTACCCTAGGAGTCCAGAGGATGTACTGTAAACATTGAAATAGCCAGGCCTAAAGCTCAGTCCGTGAATCAGGATACCATCCCCAGACCTTTACTTGGCACGTCTGAAGTTCTTACTGTAGAGTTGTGGCTTCGGATCCATCAACTATAGTTATCTTCTCTGGTTTTAATGCCCATCAGTCTCTACCAGCTGGAGCAGCCACTGCTTGGTAAAACTTAGCCAGTTGCCAGGCAAATTCATTGTGCTCCTCAGCCCAACCTCGAAACCACTGATCCCAAAGATGTAGCTGTCACGGAGAATCAAAGTGGACCGTTGGCTCCAGAAGACACACTAAGCGGCTCCAGTCCTAGCCATGGCTGTAACTTTCCTGGCGCTGCTTTAGTTCCCAGGTCTTGTAGGACACGGTCACGCTGGGGACCTGACCGACTGGCAAACCAGTGAGGAATACACTTCATTTCCTGGGAAGTGCTGTAAGACACCGGGGGAGAGAAGAGTTAATAGATTGCCTGGCACTGAGGGTAAGAGAGAGGGAAGGATAGCAGCACAGAAGATGAAGATGATTCTAGTGACATCCTCACGCCAGATGGCGGAGCTGGAGGAGGTGACTCTGGACTGGGAAGCCTTTTCAGGCGCTACGGAAGCCACGAGGGCCACCTGAAGGCCGCACCGGAGCCACGAGGCCTCGCCAAGCGTGGGCAGAAGAGTGCCCAGAGGGGTGAGGAGGCCTTGCTTGGCATCGGAGGGGAGCGGACCCATTTGAGAGTCTCGGCCGCGGCGCGGGCTCGTTTAGGCCGCCAGCGCGAACCTCCGAACCTCCGGAGCCGCGCGGTGCGGGGCGAGGCTCGCGTGGGAACGGAGAGCGCGCCGGTAACCCCCCTAACGGCAGCGGCGCGAGCCCCAAAAGGGAGGGTGCGCACTTCTCACCCGGGAGTGTCTTAAGCTCCTCCCTCCAACCCCACCCTCTCCTTGTTTGTGCCCCAACATTGCAATATTATTGAATATTAATATCAAGAAGTATAATGTATGACAAATACAGTAGTAATCATTAATGTGTAATATGGGCCAGTTAATTAACAACTGGTTATTATTTGGGATATTTTTGTAATAAGTGTTCTAAGCTAAGTCTAGCTTTCCTTAGCTGTAAAAATGTGTGGATGAAAAGGGGTGAAATGCTAACCTGATTAGCTCAGGGAAGGCCTGCATGTCTGAAACAAAAACTTTTTAAAAACCTCACCTGAGGATATTTTCCATTTATTTATTTATTTATTTATTTATTGAGAGGGGGGGGGGGGGAAGACAGAGAAATAGCGATGTGAGAGACATACATTGATAAGTTGTCTCCTGCATAGGCCCTGACCAGGGCCTGGGCTAGGGAGGAGCCTGCAACTGAGGTCCATGCCCTTTAAAAAAAAAAATGTATTTTATTGATTTTTTACAGAAAGGAAGAGAGGGATAGAGTTACATGGCACGTCTTTATCTTCTGTGTTCTTGACCGTTTTAGAATGATGTCTGTAAAAATAGGATTTAAAAACTCAATTTAAAATACTAAATTTAAAGTGTATATAGCTGTCACCCTTAAGCTTATCAAGTGTATCTTTTTAAAGTATATATTTATTTAAAGTATAAGTTTAATTTAAATTTTGTTGTCTTTTTGTTTTAGTATGAAAACCCATGGACATTGATGAGAGAGAAACATCCATCAGCTGCCTCTTGCACACCCCCTACTGGGGATGTGCCTGCAACCAAGGTACATGCCCTTGACCAGAATCGAACCAGGGACCTTTCAGTCCGCAGGTCGATGCTCTATCCACTGAGCAGAACTGGTTTCGGCTCATGCCCTTGATGGGAATCAAACCTGAGACCCTTTGGTTCACAGGTGGACCCTCCCAGGGGTCCTCAAACTTTTTAAAGTGGGGGCCAGATCACGGTCCCTCAGAGAGCTGGAGGGCCGGACTATATGAACTACTAATTCCTACTGTAACACCTCGGCTGCGCTCACTGCCCAAAAAACCTGGCGGGCCGGATCAGACTCCTCTGCGGGCCGCATGTGGCCTGCGGGCCGAAGTTTGAAGACGCCTGCATCCACTGAGCCAAACTGGCTAGGGCTGAAATTAAATTAAAAAGCAATTTATGGTAGGTAGTCATATTCTAGGCCAGTATCTTCCCTGACAAAGGTCAATCTTTACCTGAACTGAGTCTATTGTCTTTTTGCATCTATGATAACATATTTTTGAAATGTTAAAGTAATTTCCCTTGCCCTAACCGGTTTGGTTCAGTGGATAGAGTGTCAGCCTGCGGACTGAAGGGTCCCAGGTTCAATTCAGGTCAAGGGCATGTACATCCTTAGTAGGGAGTGTTGCAGGAGACAGGTGATGGATATTTCCCTCTCATTCATGTTTCTAGCTTTCTATCCCTCTCCCTTCCTCTCTGTAAAAAATCAATAATATCTGTTAAAGTAAATAAATAAATTTTCCTTTATCTGGACCCCTCAAAGCACAGGCACCACTCTATGTGCCTCATGGTTATTAATTGTTGACTGTTAACCATAGTAGTTACTATACTGCACCCACCTAAGTAAAAGAAGTATGGATTTATCATTTAACTTTTTATCCAATCTTCAAACTTTGCTGTCTCCTGCCTCCCTAATCTATTGCCAATGGATTTCATGTAACCCACTTATGTCTTCTCTTTTGATTGTAACTTAAAAGAGGTGCAGAACTGCCATTTTCCATAACATTATTTCAATCTGTTGAGATTCAGCTTCCATGCAATTGCCAATAGTGTGGGCTCAGGTACTACTTAACAAAAATCCTTTACAGCTTTGAATGTTTCTTACGTTAATAAACGTAAAGTTAATAATGAACCTTACCTTAGAGTTTTTGGGAGCATCAAATGGGATAATGCACTTTCTACACATACACACACATCTTGGTTATGATGAACACCCTTTCCAGGTAAACAGTAATTATTACTGACATTTCCTAAAACCTATATTTTTGGCATATGCAACGCTCAAAAGAGGAAGAAGAGCTGTGAGCTAGCACTGATTACTTCTTCTGGACCACTTTATCAATATTGAAACCTAAACGAACCGAGAACGCCGCGCACACCTGAAGAGGATCCTTCTCCAGGCCACAGCTTTGGGGAAATCTCAGGCTGGGGCCTGAGCAGGCGGCGTCTTCTCCCGCCACGTGGACCCGCGGTCACCGCGCCCGCTGGTCCCTCCCCCGGGCTTCGGTCCCGGCCGGAGCCCAGCTCCGCGGCACGCGCCTCCCGCCGCCACCAGGGGCGCAGCGAAGCTCGGCGGCTGCGATGTCGCAAAAGCGTCGCGAAGGCGCCCGTCCGCCCTTGGCGGCTGCGGGCCACCTGTATAAGAGGCGTGTGCGCCGGGGTTTGAAAACAACTATGGAAGCGCCCGCGTTCTCGGGAGGTTGTGGGCGCTCGACGGGGAAGCGGCTCGTCGGTGCCCCGAGCTGCTAAGCTCCCGCTGCCTGCATCCCCGCAGCGCGGCCGCAGGGGCCATGCTGGCTTCGCGCGTGGCGCGGGGCTCGTGGGGCGCCCTGCGCGGGGCCACATGGGCGCGACCGGGCAAGGGGCGCTCCCTCGGGGCCCTGCTGCCGCCCGCACCCGTCTGCCTGGGCCGCCTGGCGGGGCGCTGGTGGCTGCGCCCGGCCGCGCTCGGCCTGAGGCCGCCCGGAGCGGGCCCGCGGGGACACTGCTCGGGCCTGGGGAAGGCGGCCCCCGCGCCCCCGGCCGGAGAGGGCGCCGCCGCCGCGGCCCCGGGCGGCCCGTGGGGCCCGGAGAGCGCCGCCAACCTGGTACGTACGGGGGAGAAGCGGCCGCCCGGGCCGGGGTCGCTCAGACCTGGATTCGAATAACGTGCTTTGACCTGTCCGGGCCCGGCGCTTCCGTTTCAGAACTTTTAAGCCGTTTCCCGGGGAGAAGTGACGGGCGGGTTATCCGGGTCGGGTGAATTTGAGCGGTACAGACCGGGGTCTACTTTCAAGTCTTGTTGGTGAAGTTAGAATCCCCCCTCCGCCTCTCCTATCCGCACGGATCGCTGGACCGGCCTCCCCATGGCAGGAGTAAAAATAGCCTTCGCCTGTCTAATGAAAAGTCTATTTTTAACTTAACGAGGGAAGGGAATCCCCGATGCTTTAGGGAAAGTCTGTGGGAATCATCGGAAATACACATACAGGCTTTTCTGTCTGCTTGTGCAGGGTTTGGTTCACTATTAGTTGACCTTTGGCAGTCTTACAAGTTATCAGATGAATGATAAGTCATGAAAGGTGTAGTTGAAAGATTTTAAAAGTGGTCAAACCACAAAAGATGATTAAAATTCTCTTGAGGTTACGGAGGGAGGTATTTATTTGTCTACTTACCTAGTGAAATACTGCCAAGTGGTAGACTAACCAGAGCATGAATGTAGGGTGGTGAGCTTTTGATGTCATGTTAGCAGGACTCATGCAATTATTACATCTTCAATTGTTAGGTCTGCAGCGGGCCCCTGCACTGCCTTCATAAGCTGTGCAGCATGGGTTGAGGTGGCACATCCTGGCAGGGGTCTCACCTCATGCTGGATGCTCTGAGGTTGCCATATGCTGGCGGAAGTCCTTCCCAGAACGGCTGTAGTTGGTCGAGTATGCCACGGGCTTTTGGTTGGATAATCAGAGATTAGATTGGCTCTCTTTAATTTTAATTTAGAGAAATTTTCAAATTTAATGATGATAAATTAATGAGGCAATTTAGAAAGAAATAAGTTTACGTGGAGTTAAATAGAAACCCTTTCTCTGCATTCAACCTGGTTTGTTAATTCACCCAATGAAATTATCTGGCTGTTTGCAACTTTGTCTTTAATTTTGCCCCCACGAATATCTGAGATTCATATTGGGCCTCTTTATTCTGACTTTCTGCTTTGTTACTCATTTTTCTCAGTCAGGAACTATGATTTGTTGTAACAGTTAGTTGGTATTTGACTTATTTTGTGCCGCAGTATGGTCAACAGACTTACTTTTTTCTCTGGACTCTGAAACATTGACCGTTGAACTTGAATTTGGGATATGCTCCAAGAATGTTTTCATTTTATTCTGTAACGTGGTCTGTTTTCAATAAAAGGCCCTTGGGTAGAGGTTTGTATTGTTTCTCTTTTGGTGATTGTTTCCTGGAGAATTTGAAGTTTTTCTGTAGCTTTCAGTGACAGTGTTCTGCCACCTGATCCTAATAACTAATAACCCCATTATCTTGCCTCTCTGAGGTTTTGTTTAAAAGCAGAAACTTTGTATCTTACTGGATGGTCCGTGAATTTTTTAAAAGATGTCTTTAGAACTCGTATTGATCACTTAAAAAAAAAAAAATCAAGATTAAGGTTCAGGCAAGTTGGTTACTGATTAAGAAAGAGGTTATAACTAGGGTTGGTCTTGTGAGATAGTCACATGGGCTAGCATTGGCAGCCTTGATTCACTAGGGTAAAAATCCAGGCTTTAGGGAGAGACATTTTCTTGGTATTATTTCTGTACCCTCATTGTGCAGGGTGCCTTAGCACCACTGGGCTGAGGCTTTTAAAATTCGAATGTTGTTTGGCAAGGAAGGAATGTTCTTCAGAGCAGCTGCCAAGAAGCCCTTTTGTTAGTGCCAACTTCAAACAGCTTGGCTTGAAATGAAATTTCAAGGAATCATAAGGCTCCCACAGGGAAGCTGAGAAAGCTCCTAGTTTCTAGTGGGGGATTTCAATATGTCCGTGGCTGTTTTGAATAGTTTTTCAAACTTCTCTTTATATTTCCTAAAAATTTCAATCCCTATTCCCAGTTCCATTTTCTTTGAACAGTTCTCCAACTTAGTAGTGAAGTTCGGTAATTCAGTATTTTCCCCCCCTCTTCATTCCAATTATCCAACACTGTGTATCATTTAATATTCTTTTGATGGGTATGTATAGAGGAGTGAGGGAGATTATTTGCAATAAATATTTTTAAGCCAGACTGCCTGGGGTTGATAATTTGTTCTTTTTTCCTAGACTGTCTACTTGAAGTATAAGAGCTTCTTGAAGTTTCACTTTTAAAAGCAGTGTTTAAAGTTTTCCATTCCAATGGTGAGGTCATGTATTAAAGGCTTGACATATATAGTAGATAATACATGTTTGCTCCTGGCTCTAGGAAGAAACCTATGTGTAGTAGACACTTTAGTCTACCTTTGGGTACATGGCACGTCTTTATCTTCTGTGTTCTTGACCGTTTTAGAATGATGTCTGTAAAAATAGGATTTAAAAACTCAATTTAAAATACTAAATTTAAAGTGTATATAGCTGTCATCCTTAAGCTTATCAAGTGTATCTTTCTAAAGTATATATTTATTTAAAGTATAAGTTTAATTTAAATTTTGTTGTCTTTTTGTTTTAGTATGAAAACCCATGGACAATACCAAATATGTTGTCAATGACGAGAATTGGCTTGGCTCCAGTTTTGGGCTATTTGATCATTGAGGAAGATTTTAATGTGGCGCTAGGAGTTTTTGCTTTAGCTGGGCTAACTGATTTGGTAAGTTATAAAGTCATTTCCTCTGTTTTGCTCCCCTTCCACATCCCAGGGTCTCTACGACATGGAAATAGCACAGCCTTAGTCTGCTTTTTCTTGGAAGGAAATTCTCAAGATGCATTTCAGCTGGCGATTTATTTAAGGACTTGTCTTTAGCATCTATGTGTAACTCTATTATTCTTTAGATTATCTAAGGAAGGTAGTGGAGTTGTATGGAGGCAACTTTTTTACACCTGCTTTTTATTTATTTATTTCAAGTCTGTTTTTATTAATTTTTAGAGAGAGAGGAAGTGAAAGGGATAGAAAGGTAGAAGCATCCATGATCGGCTGCCTCCTGCATGCCCATCTTTGAGGTCCGTAGAAACAAAATTTCACCTGCCCAGTCAGTGGCTCTGGTGAGCAATATGGAATTGGCTGCATATTTTGCAGGATAAACAAAGGAGGGCATTTGCATTGTTACATGGCATTTCCAAATATGCATCAAATGTAGTTGCTAAATGGCTGCCACTTCTGTTTTTCAGAATTTACGTCCTGTTTGTCACAACTTCTCTCCATTCTCACAAGCTCTCTTTTATTCCTGCTTTTATCTCTGAAGTCTGTGAAGGCATCCACTCATTATTAATATGGTCTCCACGTCTGTCTAAGGTTATTTGTACTGATAATGGAATTTTGTTTTTCATAACAGACAAGGTCTTTTTCAGCTATTTTAGTTGATCTTCTTTTGATGGTGGGTTTTTGTGGGTTTTCTTCTGCCACATGAGATTGTAATATTCATTGAATAGAAGGGGCCTCATTTACATTTTTCTAAGTATATAAGACAGTGTGTGTGAAAATCTGAGTTAACTGGCACCATATTTCACATTTATTCCATGGAGGTTTTGATGCCTCTAGAATGGCTCCTGGGCAGATGGCTGGACTCATGGAGGGTTTAAGCAGGGGAATGACAAGGCTTGATTTATGTTGTGTATGGGAAGTGGATTATAAGAAGGTGACAGTGGAAGCAGAGAGGCTGTTTAGGAGGCTTACAGTAATCTAGGGGGATTGGTAGTTTGAACTAGGGTGGGAGTTTGGAATCTGGAGAAATGAATGGGTTTGAGATATGTTTTGAAGATAGAGTTGATACATTGGATTGAATGTGTGAGGTGAGAAAAAGGAGTTAAATATTACGGCAGGTACATTGAGGTTAACATTTTCTGGGCTTAAGAGTAGGATAGAAGCCAAAACCGGTTTGGCTCAGTGGATAGAGTGTCAGCCTGCGGACTGAAAGGTCCTGGGTTTGATTCCAGTCAAGGGCATGTACCTTGGTTGCGGGCATATCCCCAGTAGGGGGTGTGCAAGAGGCAGCTGGTCGATGACTCTCTCTCATCGATGTTTCTAACTCTATATCTCTCTCCCTTCCTCTCAGTAAAAAAATCAATAAAATATATTTAAAAAAAAAAAAAAAAAGAGTAAGGTAGAGTTTTTTGAAAAATACCAAGAACTATTACGCCTTTTCACCTAGAGTTGTCATTTGGATAGTTGAATGTAGTTAGTGTGGAGATGGAGGAAGTCAGTGGTTAGAGATAGATTTGGGAGTTATCTGCATGTAGATGGTCTGGGAAAGTCATCGAAGCTGTGATGGGGTCAGAGAAATGAGCAATGAAGTACAGCAACGGAAAGGGAATGAGTAAATTACATAGAAAAGGAGTAGCTGGTGAGAAGGAAAATATTAGGCAATGGGGTGCAGCACAGAAGTTAGGAGAGGAAAGTGCTTCAATTTGTCTTGTGGTCAAGGAAGCTAAAAATATAGACTTCATTGGTGACCTTATGAGTACCATCTGTAGAGGGTGGGGACAATCAGAGTGGGTTGGTGGTCAAATGTAAGGTGGTAATGACAATAGACATCACTTTGAGGAAGTTTTGCTTTATAGGGAAATAAAGAAATAGGATCAAGGAAGGGCAGTTTTAAAGATATATATATATATATATATATGAGGAATTTTTCTTAATAAACTAAATAGGTAGGAAGGAAGAGATTGAGGATACAGGGAAGGAGAATGGCAACTCACAGAAGGTGAGAGGGCCTGGGCTCAGGGCTCAGGGAAGGTAGAGAGTAATTGGTGCCGGTAAGTGGTGGATTTGGAAGTGGGAATATGAAGGAGTGCTGACAGTCTGTTTCTGTTTTTCATGGAAAATGTAGATATAGTGAGAGGTAGAGTGAGAGGCTTTAGGAAGTATGGAGTTAGTTTGAGGTGAGAGCAGACGATGTGAAAAGAGAAGGTAAGCAGGTGTAGGGTTGCTAGGCAGTACTGAGTGCCCATGGGAGATTTGTGATCATAAATTTGAAGTGTGACCAATCAGCCATTTATGTGTGTGTTTTTTTCTTTTCTTTTTTTAAAATATGTTTTTATTTCAGAGAGGCAGGGAGAGGGAGAGAGAAACAGAAATATCAATGGTAAGAGAGAATCGTTGATTTGCTGCCTCCTGCCTACCCTCCTATCCCCCCACAACTGGGGATCCAGCCCACAACCCTGGCATGTGCTCTTGACCAAAATTGAATATGGGACCCTTCAGTTCCCAGGCCAACACTCTGTCCACTGAGACAAACAGGCTAGGGCTATGTGTTTTTCTTGACCAGGGTTTAGCTGCTTGGGTACAGGCCTGGCTGGAGGACATGGGTAGTTGTGTTTAAGCAGGATTGAGGGGAAGCGGAGTAGGAGTTATAGGTGTTTGCAGAGCAGTGATGATGTTGATGACCTTGGAACCTAATGTGGGTAGAGTAACAGGACAAGAGGTGATGATGGTGAAAAACTGGGAGGTTAATGCCACTGAGATCAGAAACTAAACAAAAGGCTCCTGCTCCCAGTTCTAGGCACTTCCTGTTAGCCAGTTTTACACCAAGTCTACCTAAGAAGAAAATAGATTCTTTCAGTTGTGGTAGTAACATCAATAACTATTTTTGGGGGGATTTACTAAATGTTGATTACTGGAGACAACCAAGCCTACTATCTCTGTTTTCCAGATGAGAAAACTGAGACTTAGAGGGGCCAAATAATTTGCCCAAGATCACACAGTAAGTGGGAGAGCCAGAACTTGAATCACTTATGTTCTGTTGTGAACTGCAAGTTCTTTTTTTTTAAAAAAAATATTTTAAAATATATTTCTATTGATTTCAGAGAGGAAGGGAGAGAGAGAGAGAGAGAAACATCAGTGATGAAAGAGAATCACTGATCTGCTGCCTCCTGCACGCCCCACACTGAGGATCAAGCCTGTAACCCAGGCATGTGCCCTGACCAAGTATTGAACCATGATCTTCTGATTCATAGGTTGACACTCAGCCACCAGGCCATGCTGGCCGGGCCAAACAGCAAGTTCTTAACCATTGTCCTGTGCTAGTGCTGTCTCCTCTAACTCATTGGACTATTTGTGATATGGAGGACTTATTTATCCTATAAAGATGTACCATGTTAAAGTACATCTAAATTAATTTGATTTTTACTTCCCTTGGAAATAGAACTAAAAAATTCATATGTTTTCAAAGCTTAAATAAAGTGATTAAAAGCCAGGTGGGGATTTGGAAAACCAGAAAATATCTGCCTTACTTAATGAGGATAGGCAATACCGTACTTGGTTTCAGTCTATTTTGTGACTCCATAGTGGGCCTGATGATGTGGATTTTTGTGGTAAGACTTTGAATATTTAGTATTGGCAACTAATTTAAATTTTTGAAAGGTCTGGCCAGGCCATACACAGACAGCCTGTAGGCCTAATTTGACTTACTGGCAAGCAGGTATGACCTCTGCTTTAAAATATAACTAATTTGTAAGAATATTAAATAAGTGCCGAAACCAGTTTGGCTCAGTGGTAGAGCGTCGGTCTACGGACTGAAAGGTCCCGGGTTCGATTCCGGTCAAGGGCATGTACCTTGGTTGCGGGCACATCCACAGTAGGGGGTGTGCAAGAGGCAGCTGGTCAATGTTTCTCTCTCATCGATGTTTCTAGCTCTCTATCTCTCTCCCTTCCTCTCTATAAAAAAATCAATAAAATATATTTTTTTAAAAATCTGAGATTTCCTCCCCAACAGGAAAAAAAAAAAAGAATATTAAATAAGTAATTTTTATGTCAAAAATTTTAAGTAGGCCAGGCATAGAGGATTGAGGGTTTTTTTTAAATATAGGTCATGCAAATGCAGCCAGATGTGGAATTATAGTGGTACTAAATTAAAACTTTTTTGAAAATAATAACTTAAAATGGAGGGAGTTGGATGGTAGAAGAGTAGGTAGGAGGGAGTCTCACAGTTAAAGGGAAGTCCTTGCAGATAAAAGCCGCTTCAGACAAGTGCTCAAGAGAGAGGCCTCCGAATCCATGCCCTATCACTCATGCTTTCGGTGAGTTTGGGGGAAATTTCTAAATCTCTAAATTTATGTCTGGGTTCATCCCACAGAGCAGCATTGTAGAAACATTGAGAAATACCAGAAGGTCTTGAGAAAGAAAAGTACTGTAAACAAGTGAAATTATTTTCAGACCAGTTTGTAATTTAAAAGCTAAACATATACCAGTGAAAGAATGAGAAGGTTTGGGGATAAGAAACAGAAGAGATTTTAGTTACATTTTATGAAAGCATAGTTGTTACCCCGGTATCTCTTCAAGATAACTACTCTGTGCCTATTATGACATTTATTTAAAAAACAACAACTTCTATTTTCAGTTGGATGGATTTATTGCTCGAAACTGGGCCAGTCAAAAATCAGCTTTGGGAAGTGCTCTTGATCCACTTGCTGATAAAATACTTATCAGTATCTTATATGTTAGCTTGACCTATGCAGATCTTATTCCAGGTAAGAACACCTCATGCACACTTTTTATAGCAAAGGGAAGAAGGACATTAATCAGCTTAGGATTTCTCTTGATAGATAATTTTTGTCCCCAAAATATATTTTTAAATTTTAAACTGTTTCCTTAATTTTAAACTATTGAACTGTTTGGTTTGTCAAATTATTTGTTTTTATTTTAGAATTTATGTCATTATTTAGTAATAGAATTCATTTAGTAAGATTGCTTAAAGTTAAAATTGAGCAAATATTTCATAGTGCCAATTCCAATTACTCTAAAATGTTTTGAAACCATGTTATATACTCTTAGCGCCTAGCTTTTGGAAAACAATTTAAAGTTTTCCTTATTACAATTTAATCATAATAAATGAGAGGTCTGAAACCCTGAAGATGTCTCAAAATTCACATTATTTTTACTTGGATACTATTATGCAATTTCAAATCATGCATGTTTGTACAATACATTCCAACAAGAAGTTAAGATCTTTTGCCTTGTGGTTTGCATGTGCTTTGTTGATCATTCATTTTTTACTTTACTTGTATTTCTTAGTTTTTCTCCCTTGGTTCATTTAAACTATTTCCAAGAGTTCGGAATAGAATCTGAGAACAAAGAAGCTTCCACATGGTCCTTCAATAAATAGAATGTATTATTAAATTTGAGAGGAAGAGTTTCAGACTGGTGTAGAATCCTCAATCTAGACATTATTTTTCTCCTCTACCTGAAGGCTTTTAAATTCCCATACCAAATTAAAAAATGAATTGGACTAAAGGTTATATTTATATGCTTTGAAAGTCAGAATTGTGTTAGTATATAATTGGTGGTGTTGAAGGGACAGGAGTAGTCTCAAATAAATGCAAATGCTTTGTAGGGAAAAAGAACTAAGGAGCATTCCGTTGACATTATTAAAAATTGAAATGATCTTTTGTACTTTTGTGCCTCCCATTTTTCTAAGTTATTTTTTAATTTTTTGCTTTCTTTTACAAAAGTTAGCCAGGTATTTCCCAATTAAAGTTAGCATTGTTCCCAGGTTTTGTCGCACTGAGCTTTACCTAAATAATTGGTGTAGATTGTTTTCCAAACTGAGACTTTGCTTCACTGTCATTCTGGAAATTTTCATTTTCTCCCTTCTGAAGATTTCAAATTGTGGAGCTCCTACTAGGCTTTCAGTTCCTAAAGTCTTCTGATCGCAGATTTGTCTGTGATGGCAGAAGTGGTGTTATAGGCCCAGGGAACATTAGCTGCTGTTTTCATGCAGAAACTGCAGTGCCAGATCCCTAAGCTTGTCTCTTCATCTGGGTTTTGCCACCGGAGGAGCAAGTGTACTTGGCATGCTAGCCGATCTCAGTTTCTTCACTTTCCTGAGGGAGGTCTCACAACGAGTTCCATATTGACCAAGGATTCCTACCTTCTTGGTGCATTTAGCCATATTGTTGCAAACCAAGTCAAAACCCAGAGAGCTGGCTCAGTTTTGAAGACACTATTTTGTAGACTTCTAGATTCCATCTTGCTGTTGACAAGTCTCATGCCATTCTGATACTTTTCCTTTACATGTTATTATATTTTATATTGAAAAGCTTTTAAGTGTCCTTATTACATTTTCCCAGTTGATGTTTTAAAAAAAGATATCTTTCTTAAAAATTAATTTTGTTTCTATTGGTACCCAATTATCCCAGGACCTTTTGTTGAAAAGTCTGTACTTTCTCCAGGTACACTTCAATGACCATATGTACATGGGTTCGTTTCTGGGTTTCCTAGATTTCCCCCTATTGATTTGTTTATCTTTGACCAGTGTCAATCTTAATTATTATTACTTTGCTAAATGTCTTGGTATCTGGTAGAGTAAGTCCTTCCACTTTTGGTATTCTTACCCCTTTCCATTTGTGAATTTTAGAATCAGTCTTTCAAGTTCTCCCAGAAAATCCTGGTGGGATTTTAATTTCAGTTGCATTGAATTTATAGATCTATTTGGAAGAATTGGCATCTTTACAACTTGAGTCTTCCAGTACACAAATATGATATATCTGCTCTATCTGGGGCTTTTGAAAATGTCAAAATGTTAGTCTTCTCTAGAGCGGTAATAATCTTTTTATTAGATTTATTTCTAGGTACTTGATAGTTCTTGATACTTTTATAATTGGTAGTTTTTTAATATTTCATTTTGTAATAACTTGTTAATAGATGAAAATCAGTTCTGTTTCTAAGGTTGATTTTTGTGTCTGGTAACACTTGCTAAACTCTTATCCTAATGATAAAAATGTAAATGAAGTCTCGGGTTTTCTGTATCCTCAATTATGTAGTGTCTGTAATTAATGACTGTATTTTTTCTCTTCCGGTTTTTTTGCCTTTTCTTTTACTTATCTTACTCCACTGCTCAGTACAGTGTTGAATAGGAGTGGTATCTGTGTCTTATTCCCAATCTCAAAGGAAGCTTTCAACATTTCACTATTGAATACGACATTTCCTGTAGGGTTTTGTAAATACCCTTTTTCAGGTTAAGGAGTTTGCTCAGAGTTTCTGTTACAATCGAATGTTGAATTTTACCAAGTTTTTCTTGTGTATTATAGCAGTCATATTTTTTTTCCCTTTAAGCTGTTTATGTGTAGTGGAATTGCATTCTTAATTTTCTGATGTTAGACAATTCTGAAATTTCTGACATAAATCTAACTTTGTTGTTATATATTATGAAGATATTGCTGCATTTGGTTTGCTGATATTTTGTTGGTGATTTCATATAGATCCATGAGACTGACTTAGAATTCTTTTCTCCAGATAGCCTTGTTAAGTATTAGCATCAGGTTTATACCAATCTCATAAAATGAGTTGGGGAATCTATTTTTTTTTTTTTTCTTTCCTGTTCTTGGTAGATCTTTGTGTAAGATCACAGTTATTCTTTAAATGTTAGGTAGAACTTGTTGAAGATATTTGGGCCTGGAGTTTTCTTTGGGAAGAGTTTTAAAGTAAGTGATTGTGGATCTTTTCTTTAAATCATTTTAAGATGATTCAGGTTTTTTGGTTCATCTTATATCTTGTAAGTTGTGATGTTTTTCTAGGAACTCTTATCTGTTTCAGTTGCATTTTAGAAATTTACCGTAAATCTTCAAAGAACCAACTTTGGGCTTTGCTGACCTTATCTGATAAGTTTAGGACTTGATTACTTGTTCTTTTATGTTTTCCTCCTCTTTCCTTGAGTTTTCATTTTCTAAATTATTTAGACTGGTTCAGTCCCAGTATGCAAATGAGGGAGGCAAAAATTATAAGGAAGGAGGTAAAGGCCAGCTGCGTCCATTTGGCAGTTGTTATTCCAGGATGTTTATTGCTTGGGCTTGAGCTAAAGTTTAGAAACAGGTTTAGCAATTTACTATCAGCTCTGAGAACTGAAAGATATGTATAGTGCTCACTTCCTTATTAGCCTCCTAACTCTGTTTTAAGTGAATCTCTTAGCAGTGTTTATTCTGTTTTACTTATTTTTCATTATCACCATGTTGTGTATTATTATATCTTAGTCATCTTAAAACTGAAAGTTTGTCCCGTTGCCACCGTCTTCCTATTTCTCCCATTCTCCAATCTCTGGAAACTATTACTGTTTCTGAATTCAGTATTTTTTTTTAAGATTCCACATATAAGTGGTGCCATATGTAGTATTTGGCTTTTTCTGTCTGTCTGATTAACTTTTTTCTTGGAAGGATATTTTTGCTGATTATAGTTCTGGGTTGGTAGTTAATTTTCTTTAAGCACATTTAATGTATTCAGTTGCTTTCTCATTAGTAATAAGAAGACAGTTAATCCATGCCCTTTTTCTTGGATAAGAAGGATAAGGAAGGATAAGGAAGAAAGAGATAGGAACATCGATGAGAGAGAATCATTGATCAGCTGCCTCCTGCATGCCTCCTCCACCTGCCCTCATTGGAGATTGAGCCCGCAACCTGGGTACCTGCCCTGACCAAAAATCGATCCATGACCTCCTGGTTCATAGGTTGATGCTCAATCACTGAGCATACCAGCCACAATCCATCTATTTTTTTTAAGGAAAGCTTTTTACATTGAATGCTTTTAAGATTTCTTCTTTGTCATTGGTTTTCCACAATTTCACAATAATATTTGTGAATATGAGTTAGTTTCTTTTTTATTTATCTGAGTCTTAGTGAGCTTTGTAATCTGTGGATTGACATCATTAATTAGTTCTGGAAAATTCTTATCCTTAAACATCAGATATTGCCTATTTTTCTCTTCTCTTGGGAACATAGTGTACATATGTAGACCTTTTCACATATCTTTTTTATTTTTTATTTTTTATTTTATTTTAATCTTTATTCAGATTATTATAGTTATTTCTCCTTTTCCCCCCATAACTCCCCTCCACCCAGTTCCCACCCCATCCTCTGCCCTTACCTCCCCCCCACTCATCCATAGGTGTATGATTTTTGTCCAGTCTCTTCCTGTACCCCTACATACACCCTTTTCCCCCTGAGAATTATCAATCCCCTCCCATTCTATGCACCTGATTGTACTATATTCACCAGTTTATTCTGTTTCTCAGATTTTTAATTCACTTGATTTTTAGATTCACTCGTTGATAGATATGTATTAGTTGTTCATTATTTTTTTCTTTACTTTTTTCTTCTTCTTACTCTTCTTAAATAGTACCTTTCAGCATTTCATATAATACTGGTTTGGTGGTGATGAACTCCTTTAGCTTTTTCTTGTCTATTAAGCTCTTTATCTGACCTTCAATTTTGAATAACTTTGCTGGGTAGAATAATCTTGGTTGTAGGTTCTTGCTACTCATCACTTTGAATATTTCTTGCCACTCCCATCTGGCCTGCATAGTTCCTTTGAGAAATCAGCTGGCAATCGTATGGGTGCTCCCTTGTAGGTAATTAACTGGTTTTCTCTTGCTGCTTTTAATCTTCTCTCTGAGGTTCTTGTTAAATTTATCAGCCTTTTCTAGGAAATTCTTGAAAAACCTTATAACCGTGTTTTGAACTTTATATCCAGTCGTTTGTTCTCCTCCATTTGTTTTGTTTGTGATCTGTTTCCTTATCTCCTCATTTTCTCTGCTTCCCAGAGTTGGTAGGGTAGCTTTGTGTGCTGGGTGTCCTATATGGTTCAATGGGTCAGCCTTCCCAGTTACCTGAGGTGGACACTCTTGGTGCACCCCTTTGTGGACTGTGTGTACAGCCTTGTTGTAGTTAAGTCTTGATTGTTATTGGTGTCACTGGGGGGAATTGGCCTCCAGGCCAATTGGCTGTGAGGACCCACTGTGTCTATATGGAAGAATTGCTGTGCTGGAGACATGCTTATGGGGCAGGACTTGTTCCAGTGGGGCTTTGGTGCTCACTGAGTCTGCCTCTTGAATGTGTTCCTTATGAGAGTAGTTGAAATCTGGTGTCATCTCACACAGACCACTAGATACACTGGCTTCTGGATCTCCAGTGGGATGCAGATCAGCTACTGTCTGAGGCCACCCAGCAGGAGCTACAGCGATAACTACAGTTTTCTCCTCATTGCTTGGGGTTTGGAGGTTTTGGGGCTGTCTGACTGGAGCTGCTGTTTGTTTCGTAAAGCTGCGATAGGGCAGGCTATTTATATGCAAAAGCTGCTGCCAGAGCTTGGGTGTGTTTTTAGATTGTGCGGGGTGGAGTCTCAGGGTGTCACTAGGATAAGGTGTGGCAAACAGTGAGGGCTGCCAGTCAGCCTTCTCTGCTTTTCGCATTTCCAAGTCCCCTCATCCCACGCCCCAGCGCAGTAAATAATGATTGCTGGATGCACCTTTGCAAGAAAGTCACCCTCACTTTCCGACTGATAGCAGACAGTCCAGCTTCTCCCCGTAGGAATTTGGGTCCCAGTGTCTCTCCAGAAACTTGATTTTAGAGTAATCGGGAGCTTGTCTTCCTTTGGGTTGAAAAAAAGCAACACATTCAACCGCCCACCACCAGCCCGATTCGCACACCTCCATACCTCAGCTTTTCAGCGTTTGTGTATGTCTCAATGTTCTTTTCTCTTTCCTTCTGGGTGATAGTTGTTTTGTTTTTTAGTTGTAATTTTGAAATTGTTGTGCGAGGCAGCAGTTTAGGTGTTTACTTCTGCCACCATCTTGGTTTCTCTTTCCTTCACAGAATTTTAGTTGTCTTAGCCTCTTTTTTGTATGTTACCTTATTTTATTTTCCTGGGCTCCATTTTGGGTGCTTATTAATGTTCTTGCTCATTCAGTTCCCCAGTTCTCTTTAGCTGTGCCAAGTTTATTTAATTATTTTATTGTGTTTTCTAGTTATAGAATTTCTATTTTATTCTTCAAACTTTAACTAAATTGTCTTTCATAGTTTTCAGTTCTCAGTGGAAATCTTTGTTTTTATATTCCTTTTAAAACAATAAATTCAGTTATTTAATAGACTCTTATAATTCTAAAATTTGCCCAGCTGATGTGGCTTAAGGATTGTCGACCAATGCAACAAGAGGTTGCCAGTTTGACTGCTGGTCAGGGCACATGCTGGGGTTGTGGTTTTGATCCCCAGTAGGGGACCTGCAGGAGGCAACCAATCATTGTTGACGTTTCTCTCTCATCAATATTTTTCTTTCTCTCCCTCTCCCTTCCTTTCTCTCTAAAATCAATAAAAGCACATTTAAATAAAATTTCATATCTTTTGAGGGAGGGTTTCTTTCATTTGTTGTTTCTGTTGATTCTTACTCCTAGTATCTTGTGAGTTTGGTTATTTTTGACTGTTTAATGATTATATTAATGTTTGAAAAATAATTTGGAGAAATATTTTTATGTTTAGGATGATGGCATCATTCTCCAAGGAAGATTTTTTGTTCAGACCTGCTAGGTGCCTAGGAATGCTAAGAGGCTAGGACTCCGTAGATCAGGGATGGGGACTATCCAGTCTGCGGGCTATATAAGGCCGGTGAAATCATTTGTACTGGCCCTGCCAAGGCACTAGGGATGAATTAATTGTTTGAGCAAATATAGCAGGCTAATTTTTAAGTTGATAATTTTGTATGGCCTGAGAATGTTGTTATAAATATCCAAATGGCCCTTGGCAGAAAAAGGTTCCCCACCCCTGTCCTGTATTGTCAGATGGTGAGACATTCTCCATAAAGCTTTAGAACCATCTCCTCTCCCAATCCTAGGAGATAGTCCTTCAGACCCCAGCTCAAAGCTATGAGGTCCTTTATCAGACCTTAGCCTTGAGGGTTTGACTGCTGTCCCCCAGATCATCTGAGACTGCCAAAATTTCTATTCAGCTTTGTGTCTTGTGTCCTAGGAGTAGGGACAGTGGCTTTGAGTACCTAGACCTTTTTTTTTCTTTTTTCTTGAGTTCTCACTCTAACAGGCATTAGCCTGACCCTTTCTTACCTTATTGTAAGCAGCTTTCAGGATTTTATTATTATTACTATTGTTCTTCTTCAGTTATATTAGCAGAAGGATTGTTCTGAATGATTTAGTCATATATTAATGGAAGCTAAGTCCCAGGATCTTTTCATTGTCCTTATAGTTCTGAAATTTTATAGTGGTATATGTTCTAGATCCTACTCAAATTTGATGTGGGTCTTTCATTGTTCTGGGTATTAAGGAGTCCCCTTTAGTCTGAAAACTCCAGTTCTGAAAATTGTTTATATCTTTGATAATTTTCTACCTTATGTTTTCTTGGTTCTCTTTTCTGGTATTCTTAATACGTAAGAAATATTTAAAACAATGCTTAGTAAATTATAATGTTGGTAGTTAATAGAACTTGGACCTGAGTCTTTGCAGTGTATCTCCTCTTCTGCTGCAATCTCTTATTTAGGATTAAGGCATGTTTCTTTTTCCCCCATGGAGATGAAATATGCTTATTTTTGTTTGAAGTTATGTTCTGGAGATTTATTATATATAATTTGCTTGAGTTTGCTGCATTTTAAAATCTGGTTGCTGTTAGGTGGTGCTAGCTAATTATTGCTATGAAAAGTTTGTTGTACAGTCACAAAAATGTCCCTGAAAATCATGGCAGGTTGGCTTTTGTTACTTGGTGCACATAACTGTATCACCTGTGTGTTCCAAATGCCATGAATTGTGTAGAGAACTACTTTGGAGAAGTCTTGTCATCCAGTTCTAGGCCAAGGATCAACACTTACATCATAGCTGTGACAGCAGAGATTTAAAATTTAACCCTTTGCTCTCAGGGGACATCGGAATTCTAGCATATCACTCGGATGTCCCCTCTCAGGGGACATTGCAGTTTATTAGTGATTACGGGGAATTGAGTTAATTCAACGCACGTTTCCGCCGTTAGCGTCGAGTAGCTGGTAGCCAATGTCCAGAATGGTTCGGAGTGCAAGGGTTAAATCTGTAATTCATTAGTCAGATTTTTCTCAGGTTGCAAAATCAACAGAATATCAAAGCTAAAAAGGACCTTCAGTATAGCCTCAAAAGTAATTCACAAAAGAGCTGTTTGAAAGTATTATGGAAATGGAGATGTACAGTGAGTGATGCTTTATTTTAGTAATTGTTACATTTTGAACTGTGTTTTAGCCTCAGGATTTTTTCTCCTTTAAAAAAAATAATTTTCCTCTTATGAAATTGATACAGGTTCATGGTTAAAACTTCTTGCAGCACTGAAGGATATAAAGTGAAACAAGTCCTCTGCCTTCCCATTCTCATCCCACAAGGGAGTAGTAGGGGATCCTTGGCATCCACATCTACAATATCCATCTGCTGGCTCTGCCTCTGGGGTCCTGCTGTAGAATCTTAGGAATAATGAGAAAGTATTGACAAGTTTAATTCATGTGTAGTTAGAATTCACTGAATGAATGGGGCAGGAGAAAAAAATAGCAGTTGTTGGGGTAGGAACTGGTTCAGATAAGAATGAGAACATTGTGTTTCTTCACAGGTGGCACATATAGGAAATTTTATTTATTATAAAGTTACCTAGAATGCAGAAACAAGCAGTCAAAGGTGCTGAGACGCCAGTATGACTTGAGCCCTGACATCCCTTCCAACCTCATTACTATTTTAACCCCATGTACTTATAGTGAGCGTGGTGGTCTTTTCCCCCAAACTTACAAAGCTAAATAACAGAAGTGGTTAGAGCTGAGTAAAGCTGACACTGATAACTAACTGCAGCTTAGAGCATGTGCAAGAAAAACAAAACAAAAGGAGGCCTAGAAGGTCTGAAAGGCAAACTTAGACTTTGAAAGCCATAGTTTCTTTTCACTTTGTTTTGAGTTCATGTAAAAAAAGATAAAAATCAGTGGTTCACTCTAAGGATCCTAAACTTTCAATAGATGTTTATAAAAAAATGAAAACTTTTACTTATGAAAAACACCCATTTATGGTAAGGCTTCACTGTATGTGTAACATCTTAGTGATTTTAAAATCCCAACCAAAATTATTTTATTTTTGATTTTCAGTTCCACTTACTTATATGATAATTTCAAGAGATATAATGTTGATTGTTGCTGTTTTTTATGTCAGATATCGAACTCTTCCAGAACCGGTGAGTTTGTTTGAAAGAAAATGTTCTTTTATTATTACTTAGCATTTAAGAGAAAAAATAATCACTCTGCTGTATACTGGGTTTCACTTTACGGGAATAATTTATGGAAGTTATTTTTTAGAAATCTATTTGCCAAGAATTTTAAAAAAAAAAACACATTAACTGTCATCTTGGTTTAGTAGTTTTCAGTGAACACAGAATAATCAATTTAAAACAGATATGCCTTATAAGCCTAATCAATGGACACAGACAACAGGGGGGTGGGGGCATGATAAGGAGGGGGGTAATGGGGCAGTAAGGACACATATGTAATACCTTAATCAATAAAGAAATTTTTAAAAATGCAACAAAAACAGGAAAAAAAAGGTAAAACAGACATGTTTTTGTTTTAAGTCCAAATCCTTTCAGTTGATACATAATTAATTGCAGCTTAAAACCCAGACCAGCTACCCCCATCCAAGCTCTATTAAAAGTGTTTGCACAATGAAGCCCTTTTTTGCTATCTAATTGAGCCACTACTATGGCTTGTCTAGAACTGATTTTTAAAATCACAGCTGTATGAGCATGGCATGGTCAATTTGTATATTTGTTTATTGGTTTTACAAATATTTGAGCACATAAGCATAACATAATGACCTCATCTTTTGGCTCCCAACTCAGTGAACATAGCAGTATTTTATTTTGTGTTTTTAGTCTGCAAAAGAAAATAGTAATAAGGGAAATTTATTGAATTTTTTAGTAGAGAGATACATTTTATGATAGTTATCGTGTTAGTTTTTTAGGAATTGACAAATCTATGGGTTTTTAAAATCTCTTTTCAGTAACCCATGTATAATTTATGAAGAATGTAACCATGCTCATTTAGGAAAATAGAATGTGCAGATAAAGGGCTTATTGTAGCATAGAGTTAGGCCTGTGGTAAGCGTTGAATAACTGTTACGTACATATAATAACAAAATGTTTATTTGAAATTGAATGCTAAATTGAGTAAACTTTTTTATCTCTTTTGTCCTCTTCCAGCGAACACTTTCTAAGTATTTCAATCCTTGCTATGCTACTGCTAGGTTAAAACCAACCTTCATCAGCAAGGTAAGAGGCACACACAATGAAGTTGAAAATGAGACAAACTTAAATGCATTGACTGTAGTGGGTATTTTTGTTCTCAAAGCTTTTGTAATTTTTAGCATATGTGTTGTGTTTTGTGTTGGTGGTCTGAGAATTTAAGATGAGAGAATAGGGCCACCATGTAGGGAAAGTAGACACAAAGAGGTTATGAGGGTTCCTTTCTGGTTTCACTACCCACCTCCCTTTGGTGAAAACAACTTATAATAAAATTGTTTCCTTTTCAAGCTTGACTGTTACATGCAAAGCAATTGGAGAAAGTTTATTCACAATTTCATAAACAACTGCTATCCTAAGTCTTCATCCCATTTTCCTGAGCGAGCCACTTCAGGATTATAGCTGTATGCCAATCTTTGCACCCAGAGAGGACACTGTTAATGGCTCTCAAGGCACATTTATTTTCCTTTTGGCCTTGATAAGTTTGCTCTCCTCATTGTGTCCCATCCTTTGTAGTGGCAGTTTATCAGGCTGGGGATGTCTGTCATCTCTGAGACAGATTTACATATTCATTATTTTTAAAATTTATTTAATAAATATTTTTACTGAATTTTAGAGTAAGAGGGAGAGAGAGAGAGAGAAACATTGATGTTAGAGCAAAGCATCAATTGGCTGCCTCCCACAAGCCCCCTACCAGGGACCAATCCTGAAACTGGAGCATGTGCCCTGACTGAGAATCAGACCAGCAGCCTTTCCTTGCACAAGACGACCCCTAGTCAACTGAGCCACACCAGCCAGGGCGGTGATTACTTTCAAATCAGAAATTCCCTGGGTGGAACTTTATATATGTGGGATTTTACTTTATTTTTTATTTTTTAAATTCAGGTGACTTATATTTGTATCACAGTAATTTGATACAGATAGGAAGTGGCGTAAAGAAGTGGAGGGACAAATACCTCAAATCTTTGATCTTGCAAGAAGTTTTCCAGACAGTTTTTATTATTTGTTTTTAAAACAAAGTAGAATTCTTGTAATTTGGCTGCAGAATGGATGATAGAACATAGGTGCAGTTCTCGGGGCACATCACTGCTGATTCCCTGTCACCCACTCCCCCCAGACACTTTTCACGATGTGTAGAGTAGGAGTCTTCAGTGTCTTTCTGGTTCTGCTGCTGCTTCCTTTGTCCTCCATGCTGTCTTTTAGGGTAGGGAATCCTCATTTCCTCCAAAGAGCCTCTCATGGAGATGAGTGCATTTCAGGGTTCTAACCTCATGAGTTTGACAGGCAGGCAAGCGATAGCACTGAATGAAATGCTGGGAAATCTGGGTTCTAGGTTCAGATATGTAACCTGCTATGATTATGGGCAAGTCACTTTACTAATTGCATTACCTTGTCATCTGTGAAATTATTTCCGTATTCCCCTGGCTCTTTTAATGGCTGAAATAAAAAGCAAAGAGCTTTGAATCACATTGAATTGCTATGGAAATTCAAGATAGTGGTATTTTCTGACAGTTGCCCTTCTCTTTGCTGTGAAGAGCAGCTGTGCAGACAAATGGGCCAGTTGTGTGAATGCCAGCTTCTTTGGCAGAAATATTAGAACATTAAACATGAGATATGTTGTGTTACTCTGTCTTGTGAGCTTGAAACAGGATCTGGTTGGCACTGTTCATGGATGGTTTATCTTATTTTTTATTTATTTATTTATTTATTATTTTATTACTTTATTTATTTATTTATTTATTTATTTATTTTTTAGGTAAACACAGCAGTCCAGTTAATCTTGGTAGCAGCTTCTTTGGGAGCTCCGGTTTTCAATTATGCTCACGGCTTTTATCTTCCAGTACTGTGGTAAGCTAAATTTAGTATTACCCTGTGAGAATGTCAACCAAATGGCTTATTGTGGTAGTCCTAGAATTACTTGGTTCTTAACAGTGTTGATTGAGCACCAACCAGGTAAAGCTGTGGGCTGTATTCTATGGTTGATACTATTCTTAAGAAGCTTACTATAAAATATGGGGTGTAGAAGTTATACCTGAGAAGTTTTCATGCAAGTTACAGGGGATCAGAGGTACAGATGATATGTTGAGATTTCAGAGGAAGGAAGCCATTTCCAGGTGGAAAGAAGAGGGACAGCTTTAGGGATGAAGTGCCATTTGAGCCATGAGGTCTGGGTGGATTTTATACAGGAAGAGACTGAGGGGAGGCCATTTGATGAAGGGCAGACCCTATACGAAGTCAAGTGTAGGAGAGTGGGCAAGGAAGTATGTCCAGCCTAGTGAAAGAGCCATTGTGGGAGGGAAACTTAGAGAAAGGGTTTTGAATTTTATTTTATTTTATTGTGCTTATTATAGCCTTTAAAGGTGTCAAATTCAAACTCTCAGAGTTTGGATATGTCACACTGATATTGAAGCACTGCCACTCTATAATTAAAACCTTCTTGCTTGATGCAGTCTGAGCCAAAAAATGGTTGGTTTACCAATCAGTTAAGCTAAAAAAGCTTTAGAAATTACACACACATTAAACCTTTTCTGAAATACTAGAGGACTGGTGCATGAAATTTGTGCGCTGGAAGCGTGGGGGAGGGAGGCAGTGTCCCTCAGCCCAGCCTGCACCCTCTCCAGTCTGGGACCCCTCAGGGGATGTCGGGCATCCCTCTCACAATCCTCTCACAATCCCGGACTGTTGGCTCCTAACCACTCTCCTGCCTGATTGCCCCTGACCACTTTTGCCTGCTGTCCTGATTGCCCCCACTTGCCCTCCCCTGCCTGCCTGGTCACCCCCAACTGCTCTCCCCTGCCAACCTGGTTCGCCCCCAGCTACCCTCCCATGGAGGCCTGTCTCCTCCAACTGCCTTCCCCTGTTAGCCTGTTCGCCCCCAACTGCCCTTCCCTGCCGGCCATCTTGTGGCGGCTATCTTGTGATGACATTGCACAAGGGCGTGATGCCACCTAGGTTTTTATTATATAGGATATGTAAGTGTACATTGATTCTGATTAATTCTACATCTTCTGAATATGACCAACACCTTTTCTTTGAATACATCTCTGATTTTTATGTTCTGCTTATTTTGAAGTGATATAAGACTTTAAGACATTTACAAAGCAATCTGTATATTAACTTTCTAGATTTTGTAACATTTTCTCTAGTATTTTAACAGCCACATTACCTGCTTACTTTATAGTAGTTTTTAGCAAGTTGGCTGGTTATCAAGTCTTTCCAGAGCATCCAGTTCTCAAAAACAGCAGCTTTTCCTACATGTATTTTTCGTTGGCTTATGTGTGAATTTAGGATATTTAACTGGCATGAACAGCTTTGGGATCAAATAAAAATAGTCTGGGTGGTCCTACACCTCACCTGGTGGAGCAGAAGTGCACAACACGCTAAGAAGTACCCTGTTGGCTGCGAGCATTCAACAAACCATGAGGCACTACTGATCTAACTTCCAGGAGAAAGTTGAGTCAGTCTGCCAGTTTGCTTTAAAGAATCAAAAAAGAAAACATTTATTTTAAATGACTCAAATTTCAAGAAATAGAGTCTAACACTCTCAGCAGAATGAAGTAGTAGAAAGGGCACATGGCTCCAGAGTTGAAGCCAGGCCAGGTTCTAATGTGGTTCCGTGGCCCTGACCAACTTCTCTGTTGCAAAAATAATATCTCTACATATAAAAGCCCAATATTCATTGTCCCCTCAGGAGTTCGACAGACTGGGAGTTCGACCACTTGCTATGACGTGCACTCAGACTGGGAGTTCGACCACTTGCTATGACATGCACTAACCACCAGGGGCAGAATGAAGGGAGGCCCCAGCCGGCAGCCACTAGGGACCCTACGCATGCACGAATTTTGTGCACTGGGCCTCTAGTGAGAATATAAGACATCTAGAGTAATGTCTGGGGGAAAATGACAGTTGCTAGGGATTCTCATTAGTCTCTTGGGCTCATGAACTAGATTTGCTTGATATTACTAGTTTAATGAGGTCTTAAGGAAAAGCAGTGCATTTTCCATAGTTAAATTTTTATAGTTAAAAATAATTTGATACCACATAGCCTTTTTTACTTTTTAGATAATTTAAATGTATTTTTTATCACTCTCACAGTTACTGATCTTTACTTGACAACTAAATTTTCTTTTTCTCCATTAAAGGTGCTTTACAGCTTTCACCACGGTTGCATCAGCTTACAGTTATTATCATTACGGTCGGAAAACTGTTCAGGTGATAAATGGCAGATGAATCCATCATCATTAGCAAGGAAGCAATATGCATCATTGGCAGCAGGGCCAATGGAAATGTACAGGAGTCTCCCTACTTTGAAAAGGACTTGTCAGATCAAACCATGTCACCAATATTTAATGTGCATTGAAAATAAGCTTGATCATGGGCATATGCAGAATTTCCAATGTATTTTTAAATACAAATAAAACTATTATTTAGATTTTTTTTACCATAGGTTTCTTGATTAACTTAAAAGAAATCAATTCCAATTATTGTCAGTCATTTTTTAATTTTTTTTTTTTAGAAAGTAGTGTCCAGAGCATGAAAACTATAGAATTGCCACTTCTCTTTAATAGAATTTAGATCGCTCACAATGCATTAGGGAATTTCCTAGGTTTAAATATATGTAGCCTACACAAGTTGGCTATACAACTTTAAGTTTAATTTGATCGGTATGTATATTAACAGTTAATGTGGTAAATATTCGATCATTTAGGCTAATGACAATAAAGGTAGCTTAGTTGTAGATGAAGTAAACTTGTAAAGAGATTATAAAGATCAAAATAGAGAGTACTGAAGTTCATGTTCAGTAGTCTTCCAACCTCTCAGGTGCCTAATATATAGTTTATCAGGGTTACAAGTAACAGAAGTAGTTGGAGTAATAAAACATATCCATGAGCCTACACCCTCCAAGAGGCAGTGAATTATATCATGCCTTCCCACTGTATTTCTAACATAGCAGTGTTTGTATGATATTGGAATCTGTACTCAGATGTCTGTATATAATATAAAACTGTATTTTTTAAACTTCGGGGAATATTCTTTTGTTAAGATGTTAAAAGAATAAAAAGCTAAAAAAACACTGTACCTTCATCTTGTGTTGTTTGTATAGCATATTACAGTTCTTGGTTGTGTAAGTTTTTTGATTCATAACCTTCATTCAGATATATCACTTGCACTTGCATTGTAAAAATAATTGGTTTGGGACCATCTGACTTAAAAGCCCTTATTCTCACACCAGCATGTTTAGGAGAACCAGGGTCCGTGCTGTGCTTTCTCTTGTCGCTGGAGGCCTGTTACTGCATGTTGTTCCAGGTTCTAATTTCAAGTGTAATGTGGAACTATTTAGATAAATGTGATGATCTAAACAGCCTGTTTAGCTGTGTTAAAATGGGAAGCCTCTTGGTGGGAAGCCTCTTGGTGGTATCCTTATATCAGTGCGCCCCTCTGTTGCCTGCTGGCCCTGGCTTCCTTGTTCCCAAGCTAGCTGCTCAGCCACCATTGGCTTGGAGCACATTGAAGCCTGCAGGCAGGCACACTGCACTGAATCGAATGGAGGGCCTTGGGAAGGAAGAGAAGGCCTTTATGGTCAATGAATATTTGACAAAGGAGTAAAAAACAAAATGAGGTAAAGATAGTCTATTCAATAAAAGAAGAGAAATGCTTTGGCCTCTAGCAAGAGCCTTAAGGTTTTCTTTTGCTCGTTTTTTGTTTTTTGTGTGTGTTTTTTTTTGTTATTAAAAATGTTTTTTTAAGTGAAAAAAGAAAAATGAAACTAAATCCACCTTCTTACACCACACCAAGAATAAAGTCAAAATGGATAAAAGACTTGAATGTAACTCATAAAACCATAAAAATCCTCGAGGAAAACATAGGCAGTAAGTAATATCCCAGACATTTCTCAGAGCAATATTTTCCCCTGTTGGGTAAGGGGGGAAAATAAAACAATTGGGCTATATCAAACTAAAGAGTTTTTGCACAGCAAAGGGGAAAAAAAATCAACAAAATTAAAAGACAACCAGAACATAATCACCAGTGATACATTTGATATTTTTACTATCCAAAATGTATAAAGAACACAAAAACACCAAACAATCCAATTAAAAATGAGCAAAGGGCCTATCAAGCTAGGAGCACGTTTTGCCATATCCTGAAATGCAACAAAGAAACCAGTGCTCTTCTCCCTCACCCCAGTTCTCAGGTTAAGAACCCAGTAGGGTTGATTCCTTGAATAACAAACACGTGCCCTGCCAGAGCCTGACCACGAGGGAACTTCACTTAGGATAAAACCCTCAACTTCCTAAAATGGCTTGAGAATGTCATTTCTAATACAGTATAGGAGGCTGGATCATAGCATTTATCTTTTCCTACTTCTACACACAGTTCCGGACACTGAGGGGCACTGATTGCTACTGTGTTTCCCCGAAAATAAGACCTAGTGCATGGAAAGATAAGACATCCCCTGAAAATAAGACCTAGCGCAACTTTGGGAGAAAATATAAGACACTGTCTTGTTTTTGGGGAAACGGTACTGAAAAAACAACACACACAATAAAGACAGAAAATAGTTCAAAATGTATCTAATCCATACAAATTTTCTATCCCTGTCTCATCAATGCAGACAAATCAATACTAAGGGAAGGGGGGGTTGTGTGGAGAGGATTTAAGAATAGCTTCATTCCAGGAGAAATATTTTAAATAAATATATCTTTAAAAAGCAATACAAGTTTGATGCAGTATTACTGGGATTTATTTGTATCCCGTTATCAATATTATTTGTTTCACAAGCCTAGATATCCTATTGTTTATAATAAAAAATACTGGCAAAAATATTTTTAAAAAAACACACCCACACAAGAATGCCCAGCTCCAAGAGGGGTGCTTTGACGTGGGCCATCACGTTTCTGGAAACAGACCCAGTGGAGTCGCAGGGAGAGAAGTTCCTTGGACTGAAAGACTGGACGTGGCCAGTTTGTGTGTGGGGGGGGAGCGGTCCTTGGCTTCCCTGGAATGACAGATGCTCAGAACTGATGGGGACGCGTCGGATCCTCGGTATCTTCTTTTCTGCACCAATTCCTCAGCTCCAGTTCGTCTGGGGAGGGGAAGCCGGGCTAGCTGAAGGTCTGAAGCTTCAACGGGTCGTCAAAGGCGGGGTTCTTGTAGGCCACCAGGTGCGCGGGGTAGCTCTGCCTGCGGCCGCGCCGGCAGAGGCAGGCGGACAGCACCAGGGTGCTGACCAGCAGCAGGCCGCCCGCGGCGCTCAGCCCCGCGAGGATGAGCACGGAGCTGGGCTTGGTGGTGAAGGAGGCGCACGGCTCCCGCCGGCCCGGGGCCTGCGTCGGGCTCAGTCCGGCCCCGTTGGCCGCCAGGACGCACACCCGGTACGTGGTGCCAGGGGACAGCCCGTACAGCGGGTGCTGCCGCGCCGTGGCATAGATGTCCCCCACGGCGGCGGACTGGTTCCCGGGCCCGCCCTCCGGCGAGTAGCGGATCTGGTAGCTGCGCACCACCGAGTTGGGGGCGCACCAGCGGACCAGGGCGGACGTGTCTGTGACCTCCGACAACCCCTGCAGCTTGGGAGGCTCCGGCACGGCGTCCTCCTGGCTGAAGCCGGGGCACTGGCACCTGGAGCGCCTCTGCAGCTCGGCGCACGGCGTCTGCAGGTGCTTGCATGGGTGGTAATCACAGGCCACGCCCTGAGGGGGCGCACTCACTACCTTCTCCTTCCCCTTCTTCCCCTCCTCCTCCTCTTCCTCCTCACTAGAGTCGTCCAAAACCAAGACTGGAATTCCACCCTCCTCGGAAGGACTCGGGTGGGGAGGCTGCGGGGTGGCCTGTGTCGTCCGGGAGTGCCGGGGGGTGCTCAGAGGGTTCCGGGAGGCAGCGGGGAGCCCACGCTGTTTGCTGGCGGGCGGGATGGAGGCAGCTGAAACAGGAGGGTCCGGGTCAGGCGGGGCAGTGCGTTCGTGCTCTGTCCAGGCCCGGCTGGCAGCGCTGGAGTTCCTGGGACCCGCTATGGAGACAGCGGTGGCCCACGCGGGGGTGCTCACAGCGTGGGAGGGCGCCTTGGTGACAGTCCGTCGGCCTCCCCCAGCTGGAGAGGAGGTGGCTGTGCTCAGCTGCGGGGCGAAGGGACCGGGTGTAGAAGTCGCATGGGTGGGGCCCGCAGAGATGGGTGGCCTGGGATCCAGGAGGACGGTGCTCTGGTCCCCGTGGCACACACCGGGCAGCTGGGACAGCGGGAGAGGGGCGGAGAGGGCCCCGCGGGATCCTGCAGCGGGTGTGCACACCGTGTCTGCCGCCCTAGGGGAGGGGTCCACCGGTTAGGAGGTATTTGGCATTAAGGCCGTTTTCTGCCCTGGCCTTTGAGTACTCGGTGCAGACAACCCCCCTTGCTCAGCCTTGTCAACAGGAGCCCCAAGGCACAGGGTAGGCGCGCATCACCTCCCTGCCCTCAGGGTGACCTTTGGAGGAGGCTCCCAGGAAGCAGAGGAGGAAATGAAAGCTCATGTCAGCAGGGCCAGCTAATGGCAGAACTTAAACGTGGGCGAGCACTGTGAAGGGCAGGCAGTCCAGATTCTCTGAGTGTTCTCCCCTGTCTGTCTCCTGGCTACAGGTACTGGTCACAATACTCAGACTGGCTGACATAGTTTCTGAGTGCTTGCCACATGAAAGGTGAGCACCTTCCTGTGTCAGTGAATTCAGTCTGCACTACCTTATGAGGTAGGCACTATTATCCCTATTTTACAGACGAGGAGGAGAAGGAGGAGGAGGAGGTAGAGGCCCAGACAGGTCAAGAAATGCAGCCAAAATGAACAGTGTTAAGTGAGTGAAGAGCCCGTACTCTCAACCTCGTCGCTGATACGAAGTGAGACCCTTCGCTGCAAAGGGCCTGGGTTCTTGTCTTTGGAATCAACATGCAGGGGAGAAGAGGACAGACTGAGCCTCCCTTGTTTCCAGGCTTGGCTTGGAGGTGAGACAAGAACCCCCACAGGATGGGGGGGATGTCTCCCAAAGTGAGCTGGTGGAGGTTTAGGGGAGGTGTTCCCAACCCACCTGGGCCAACCTGGGCATGGCTCCCCACCGCAGAAATGGCTCTTCCAGCTAAGAGCCAGCGAGAAGTCTTTGTAGGACTTCCGTCTGTCCCGCAGGAGCTCTGTCAGCCCACTGGCCTTGGACGGAGCGAGAGAGGAAGCCAGGCTCCATTTGGGGGGTTTAGGGGAACCCAGTGGTTCAGTGCACAGTTTTGGACGAAGACAGATTCTGCCTCCTCCACCCAGAAGTTGCATGAATTTAAGCAAGTAGCGCCCAAGCTGCTCATCTATAAAATGGGGCAATGATAACATTGCTTTTGTAGAGTCAAGCCAACTGCTCATTTAGCCCATTTCTTTTTCCTACTTGGCATGCAGCTAGACTACATTTTCCCAGCCTCCCTTGCAGCTAAGCGTAGATGTGAGTGGAAGTGATGAGCCCTACCTCCTGATCTGTTCCTCCATGCTCTCTTCCCCTCTGCGTCCCAGGTCTGTTCCTCCATGGTCTCTTCCCCTCTGCGTCCCAGGTCTGTTCCTCCATGCTCTCTGCCCCTCTGCATCCCAGGTCTGTTCCTCCATGCTCTCTGCCCCTCTGCGTCCCAGGTCTGTTCCTCCATGCTCTCTGCCCCTCTGCGTCCCAGGTCTGTTCCTCCATGCTCTCTGCCCCTCTGCGTCCCAGGTCTGTTCCTCCAAGCTCTCTGCCCCTCTGCGTCCCAGGTCTGTTCCTCCATGCTCTCTGCCCCTCTGCGTCCCAGGTCTGTTCCTCCATGGCTCTCTGCCCCTCTGCGTCCCAGGTCTGTTCCTCCATGCTCTCTGCCCCTCTGCGTCCCAGGTCTGTTCCTCCATGCTCTCTGCCCCTCTGCGTCCCAGGTCTGTTCCTCCATGCTCTCTGCCCCTCTGCGTCCCAGGTCTGTTCCTCCATGCTCTCTGCCCCTCTGCGTCCCAGGTCTGTTCCTCCATGCTCTCTGCCCCTCTGCGTCCCAGGTCTGTTCCTCCATGCTCTCTGCCCCTCTGCGTCCCAGGTCTGTTCCTCCATGCTCTCTGCCCCTCTGCGTCCCAGGTCTGTTCCTCCATGCTCTCTGCCCCTCTGCGTCCCAGGTCTGTTCCTCCATGGTCTCTTCCCCTCTGCGTCCCAGGTCTGTTCCTCCATGCTCTCTGCCCCTCTGCGTCCCAGGTCTGTTCCTCCATGCTCTCTGCCCCTCTGCGTCCCAGGTCTGTTCCTCCATGCTCTCTGCCCCTCTGCGTCCCAGGTCTGTTCCTCCAAGCTCTCTGCCCCTCTGCGTCCCAGGTCTGTTCCTCCAAGCTCTCTGCCCCTCTGCGTCCCAGGTCTGTTCCTCCAAGCTCTCTGCCCCTCTGCGTCCCAGGTCTGTTCCTCCATGCTCTCTGCCCCTCTGCGCCCCTGAAAGTGACTCCTGAGGGCTATCCACCGCCAGCCTGCCCAGCCTGCTTATGTGAGTGAGCCAGACTTCAGCTTCGGGAGGCTGACCCTCACCACCCAGTCACCTATTTTGTGGATGTGTTACCTGCTCAGGATGGTCCTGTTGACATCCTTGAGGAGCCAGGACAACTCACAGCTGCAAGTAAGGGGGTTGCCAAAGAGGTTGATGGATAGAACCTGGGAAGAATGCAGGGTCCAAGGAGGGAAGGAACTCAAGTTGCAGCTGAAATACACAGAAAATAAATTAGGGCAGGCTTTTACCATCAGCTCAAAACTGTTCCCGGAGTCATAGTGACATATGGAAGCCCATGCTGTCAGGCATTAGATGATCTCACTTTGGGCAAAACTCTTAATGACCTTGGACTTTCTTTTTGTCATCATTTCACAGATGAGAAGCTGCTCTATAAAAGTGTTAAGTAACTTGCCCCAACTCACACAGCCAGTAAGTGGTGGAGTCAGGATTTGAGCCCAGGCAGTTTGGCTCCACATCTTATGCCTTATACACAATGCTGCATCGCTCAAAAGCTCAAAAGAAGATTTGAGACGGAGTTATCACTCATCAGCATATCACCACGACCATCATTATCACCACCACCAGAGGCCCAGTGCACAACATTCATGCATCCCCTGCGGGCTTTCGCAGTCGGGGGGGGGGGGGGGGGGGAGTGTAGGGGATGTCACTGCTGCAGAGGTGGGAGAGGCTCCCACCACCAGCGCAGTACTCATTAGCCGTGAGCCATCACTCCTGGCTGAGTGGTGCTCCCCCTGTGGGAGTGCACTAACCACTAGGGAGCAGCTCCTGCACTGAGTGTCTGCCCCCAGGTGGTCAGTGCATATCATAGTGACCGGTCATTTGCATTTTACCCTTTTACTATATAGGCTTACCATCACTGTCACCAATACATCCCATTACCAGCGCCATCACAATCACCACTGCCACCATCATCAGCACTTTTATCATTACCATCACTTTCATCACAACCACCATCATCTGCACTAATGTTATAGAGCACACACCATGTGCCAGGCACTAAGTGCTCTGCATATTCTATCTCCTGTCCCTTTTGACAAGCCCCAAAGTGAAGTACTCTGGTTGGGTCTAGAGCTATCAGAGAAAAGAGAGAAATGGTTACACTGCGAGTGGTGATGGGGAAAAGTGCCCACTTCCCAGGTCCCAGTATGGGTTCCCGGGAAAGGAGGTGGCCTGGGATCATCATCAAAGGGACACTGTCCTTCCTGTTAGGAGTCAGGAAGAAGGTGGATATAGTGACACTTATGACATCAACAGGCCAGAGATAACAGCCCTCGGTCCTGACCACTGGTAGCACCTTTCTACCTTCTTATCTTTCTTCCCTAGACATCTGGAACGGCTGACTTCCCACATGGAGAAGCAGATGGATGGAGAAATAGAAAAGAACCTAATGCCCTCATCCCTTCTTCCACTGCGGGTTTCTCATCTGGGCTTAAAGGAAACCTTACATGCATGAGAGTTTGGGGTTTCACTATTACTCTGGACAGCACTGAGTTGCATGGTTTTCAGACTGGATGGACTATTTGGGACCTGCCCAAGATACCATCCAAAGGATGAAGAAGAACGAAACCCCAGAGAGGACCAGAAAGAGCTCTATAAGATAGTTTCACCTATTCAGCATAAGGGAACAGGCAAAATTCATTCATGTGACTCAGAAACACTTACTTCTGCAGCAGCAGGAGCTGTAGGCGAGGAGTGTCTTGGAAGATAAGTGTCTGGACAGAGGTAAGCGCGAGGGAGTCTTGGCAGTCCAGTTGTTGCAGGTCAGAGGCCGTCTTGAAAATGTCCCCCTCCAGGCTCCGCAGCATGGGCATCTTCCTCAGGTGGAGGGATGTGAGCTTGGGCAGGTCTTGGATCCACCTCGGCTGAACTGAAACACACAGGGGACACTGCCCACCACCAGGAAGCCACCAACCTAGGAGGCTGGCAGGGAGTTATGGAAACACCGAGAGTGACAACATGAACTGTGAAGTCATTGCTGAGTATGGGCACAGTTGGACGCTTTAGGAAGCTCAGAACTATGGGCTACATCACCTGAAAGACCCTCCCTCCCTCCCTCCCTGCCTCCCTTCCAGCTGAGACAACTGAGACCAGAGAGGAGAATGATTGGTCCAAGGCCACACAGCTGGGAAGGGACAGGCCAGAACTTGAACCCAAGGACACTGTCTCCAACTCCGCTTCTGCCCTACCCTCTTGTTAAACTTCACACAGAAATACCCCAAACTTCACTCCAATGGCTACCAGGAGTGGGGACATACTTGAGGAAGGCAAAGAAGGAGGAGAGAAGGGCAAAGTGGACGAGGCCCAGAAACCTAATTTTGTGGCTCTCCTAACACTACAGGGAGAATATGCCCCTTCCCCTCTGTGTCCAGTTCTCGCTCTTTTCTTCCTTTGTCTATGGTGGGACAGGCGATTACAGACACATGGAGTGTTTTTAAGAATAATAAGACCAGCCGAAACCGGTTTGGCTCAGTGGGTAGAGAGTTGGTCTGAGGACTGAAAGGTCCCAGGTTCGATTCTGGTCAAGGGCATGTATTATACTTCGGTTGCAGGCACATCCCCGGGAGGGGGTGTGCAAGAGGCGGCTGATGTTTCTCTCTCATCAGTGTTTCTAACTCTCTATCCCTCTCTCTTCCTCTCTGTAAAAAAATCAATAAAATGTATTTAAATAATAATCATAATCATAGTCATAATAATAATACCAATCTTCCGAGCCAAAATCAGAACACACCAAGGACAGGAGAAGGTGTTCTCACCTCCCTCCTGTGTCTCGCTTGAAGGGTCAGTAACTGCAGCGGAATTTTAGCCAACCAAGTAGAAAAGTCCCTGAATTCATCCCCAAGAGCATCAGCTGCTTCCCTGACCTGCCTGCTTGATTCTGATCCGGCCAAAGCAATGCATCCGCTTCCCCATCCTCCCAGCATTCCCTCATCTGCTGGGTCACAGTACAACCGCGTGGCTAAAGGGTTGGGTTCTGGACCCAGAATTGCTTGGGTTACCATTTGGAGGCACCACTGACTGAGCTGTGAGACCTCGGGCCAGTCATTCACCTTCCTGGGCACTGGCTTCCTCCTAGGCGACACGGAGATAATAGCTCCCTCCTCTTGGAACTCAAGGAATGAACCCTTGTATGGCCCTTGGGACGGGGTGCACGTGGCTCAGGCAATCTAGGCGGGGTCATCTATGTGCAGCACCGGGAGCGACCCCTCCAAGACACTGGTCCCACCTCTGAAAACTAGGGGCGCCCAGGACTCACCCTGCTTGAGGAGCGTGCCGCTGAGGTCCAGGACCTCGAGGGAGGCCAGGGGCGCGAAGGCGGCGTCGGCGATGCCCCCCTGGCCTAGCGCCGTGCCGGAGAGGTTGAGCAGGCGCAGCGAGGGGAAGCAGGCCAAGGCCCCGGGGGGCAGCGCCCGCAGGGGGTTGCCGGCGAGCTCCAGGGCCCGGAGGCTGCCCAGAACGGGCCGGGTGCACGGCGGCAGGGCGGCCAGGCGGTTGTGGCTGAGGTCCAGCGTGTGCAGCCCCGCGGGCCAGCCGGGGTCCCAGCGCAGCGCGCCGATGCGGTTGTGGTGCAGATTGAGCACCTGCAGCTCTGGCAGGGGGCCCAGCTCTGACGCGCTCAGGGTGCTCAGCAGGTTGTGGCTGCCATCCAGGCTGCGCAGCGCGCGGGGCAGGCAGCGGGGCAGGCGCTCCAGGCTGCGGTTCGCCAGAGTCAAGGTCGTGGCCCCCACGGCGAAGGGCCCCTGGCAGGGCGAGCCGGTGGTGGTGGTGTCGTTGGCCCCGCTTCCCGAGGGGCCCAGCTGAGTGAGGCGGAAAATAGGGACCATCTCCTGGGGAGGCTCGGCCAGGCTCAGGTGCAGCGCTGTGGGCAGCAGCAGCACCAGGGCCAACCGCATGGTGCGTGGCTGGGGAGAGAATGACGTGACAGCGCGTTAAATCCCGAAAAGAAGGGTAAATATGCCCCCTACCACCCGGCTTGGAGGAGGAGGGCAAGTCCTGGGCGGTCTCAGCATTACTAGGTGTGCAGGGACTTTGCCCCTGTCATCTCCCCCGCTGCTGCACGGTGGTACCTTCCGCTCTTCCTTCTCCCAGCCATGCTCTTCCCTCTAATTCCCTCTCCTTCTGTGGATGCCAACCCACAGGGACCTCCCGCAAAAGGCCTCTCTCTTCTGCCCCATCTGGGCCTGAACCTCCCAGTAACCCCATTACCCCATCCCATGAGCTTCGGGGGTGGACAGGGTGGGGTAGGGGGGGAAGGGAACTTGAACTTTATTGCTATCAACTCCCCAGGTGCACAGACGCTGCTACAAAAGTGCCTGTTGATAATGAGAATGGGACTTCAGGAAGATTCTGTCAGTCCCAGCAAAACTCAATTGCCCCCATTTCCCCCTTAGACCTGCCCAGCCTCAGAGGTGAGTCCTGGTTTGCGTGTGACCTGGTTTGCAGGTCACATTTTAAAATAAGTTCTAGGGTCTCTTTCATGGGGGAAGAGGGGCCCTCAGGGTTGCCGTCAGGGAAGCAAGGAGCCCCCAGACAGCTGCGATACTCGGGACCTGAATCAAGCCTTTCCTGGTTCCAACAAAAGCCAAGGCTCCTGAGGACAGCCATGCCCGGGGGCTGGCGGAGAGTCACCAGCTGTGGAGCTTCTGGAGTACCCAGGATTGCGCAGGGCAACTGCGAGATCAGGTCTCAGCATTACTAGGTGTGCAGGGACTTTGTCCCTGCACACCTAGTAATGCTGAGACCTGCCATCAAGCAAAGCTACTTCCAATCGACCCTTGGCCTTGACATCACTCCTTGATATTTCCCCCATTTCTGTAGCTGTCTGTGTTCCTGCCCCAGCTACTCTGCTGACTCCTAGGTCTCTAAGCAACCTTCAGACCCCCCTGTTGCTATTTTAGAGTCCAAGTAGCAAGAAAGAGCCAGAAACTGAGATCAGCAACCCATGCCTCCAGCAGCGTGTCATACTCACCGGACGCTGTCCTTTCAGAGTGTGGCACTTGCTCCTTTGTAGTCCTCACTGTTGTCTTGTAGATCCGAGGAGCCAGTGACTTACGCAGCAGCTCAACGCTGAATTCCAGAGGGAGGCCTATTTCCCAGATGCCCTGCCCCTGCCCCCACCTGCTCCAGGCACTGAGAGGGCCTGAGATATCTGGGTCCCTGCACGCCTCTCCTTCCTCACTTTGTGGTCTTTAGCCAACACCCTCAGTGCCCGGCTCCTCCTCCCACTCTGGGACTGGACCTGCCCCTTTCCAGGCCTGGTTCCTCCTCCTAGCCCTCCCCTTCTTCATCTCCCCTTACACTTGCCTCTCCAGGCCTGAGAAACAGAGGAAGTCAGCTCTCCCTGCCAAGGTGAGGGCTGAGGGCTGAGGGCTGATGAGCAGTGAGGCAGAGGTGACACTGTCACCTCCCAAGAATCTGATCTTTCCGATAGGTGGTTCCCACTTCCTGGGATGCTTGGAGGATGAATGGCGAGCTGGAATGAAGAGGAAGCCCTGTGGCCCAAAGGAGGAAGGAAGGTATGCTAGACCATAGGAAGGCCTGCAGGCGAAAGTGGCCAGAGGGGTCTTCTGAGAAGTCTGGGAGCAGGGGCAGGCTCAAACCAGATCCAGGCGTCTCCAAGAAGAGTTAGTTTGGTTTCTACGGGACCCAGTTCAGTGCCAGTGTGGAGGTTTGTTTCTCCTAAGAGGTGGGAAAGATAAAGAGGGTAGAAATGCAGAAAGAACATTTCTGTCTCATGGTGGGGGTCCCCGTTAGCAAGAGCCCTGGTCTCACGGTCTCACAGCATGAGCTTTGTTTGGAGCAGACAATGCCTTGCTCCCCCTGAGTTCGGAGACTGGTCATTTTGTGTGAGGGCCTTTGGTCTGCACATCCCTTCCACCCCACCCCCCCACCCCACCCCCCACCCCGGAGGCCCAGGGTTAATCATCCCTGAGTTGTGTACACAGACTCTGAGACGAGAGCTGCAGGGATCTTCCCGTCAGCTCTTATCTGAGCAGCCCTGAGGAAATGCAGGACACCTTGGAGCTGCAGATGGGGTTTATTGGGTAATTGCACATCCCAGGAGATCTCCTTTCTTGGCCTTCTCCACCCAAAGCCTTAAAACTATCCTTGCAGCCTCAGTGTAGGCAGGGGCCTTGCTGCTCAGATGCTTGAAAACAGGGAACAGACTCAGAAGATCAGAGGGAAAGGGTTGGGGGCGGGGAGAGATTAGCCAAAGAATTTATATGCATATATGCATGGCCCATGAACACAATCAGTAGGGTGGTGAAGGCCTGGGGCGGGAACTGAATGGGAGATGGAGGGAAGGGGGGGAAAAAAGGGGGGGGGGGAAGGCATTTGTAATACTTTGATTAATAACGATTTTTTAAAAAAGAAGCAATCTTTCATTGGGCCCAGGCCTGTTCTGGACAAACCCTGTCTGGGGCAGCACAGTCATTACACAGGGAGCCCAGGCCTCAAAGGTAGAAACTGTGCCATGGATGACACAGGAGGCCAAGTGGGAGGGAGAAGTCAAGGGAACGGTGGGAAGGTGAGGGGACCAGTGTGTGGGCCAGAGGATGGGCTCAGGTGAGGCCCTACCTCTGCCTTTGCTTGGTTCACTGGGCACAGAGAGCACCCAGCGGTCAATTAAAACAGCAGCTTCTCTCAGCTGGCGATGGACCACCTGAGGCCAGCGGGGGGTGGGGGAGTTCAGACAGGGAGGCCAGGTGAGAGGGAGCCACACCCACCTTTTGAACAGAGACCCTGAGGAGGAAGATGGCCCTCCACAGAGGGCTATCTAAAGGAACCCAGGAGGAAATGTTGGGTGCTCCTCTGTCACCATCAGGGGAAGGGGTCTGGAGAGGCCCTGGATCATTGCCCTGCACTTGCCTAGAGCCCCAGGCCCTCTGAGCCAACTTCTTTTCTCTGCTACTTGCTGCCTGTCTCACCAATGGTGGCAAGGGCTTGGACTGGTCTGGATCTCCCATGAAGAGGAGCCCTGGTCAGGCTTTGGGGAAGGTGGGAGGTGGGCTCCCTCCCCAGAGACACACATTTAAGTCTGCCCCATATTTTTCCCAGACCTCGGCAGGGTAACACCAACAGGAGTCAGGTGGGTAGGGTTGTCGACCATTCCACTTTTTATTTATTATCTATCTATCCATCCATCCATCCATCCATCCATCCTCACTCTTTTTTCCATTGATTTTTAGAGAGAGGAAGGGAGAGGAGAGATGGAGAAAGAGAAACATCAGTATGAGAGAGACACGTCTACGGGTTGCTTCCTACACACACACACACACACACACACACACACACACACACCCGACCAGGCTGGGAAACCTGTAAATGAGGTATGTGCCCTTGACCTGAATTGAATCCAGGACTCTTCAGTCTGAATCCCCATGCTACAGATAAAGAAACAGAGGCTCACAGAGGCTGACCAGTTAGTTTGTAATTAGTCTGCCTGCTTAATCACTGCTTTTACATTGCCTTCCATAGGCTTCAACATTTCACACTGTAATGTTCCCCTTAAGCTCCAGAGAAAACCTTTCCCATATATTTAGGTTATAGGAATCTCTTTCTCGTCCCTCGTGGAAAGGGTTCCAGTTCAGGGTTTGGGTTCTGGAGAAGAGCCACACACAAATGAAAGGAGACTTGAGACTTGAAGAAATTCAACTTGGCGATATGGGAGGCCAGGCAGTAGTCCAACTCTAGTGGGAGAACTACTTCTGCTCTGGCCCTGCCATCCCCCTTTATTGAGGCGTTGGGGAAAACATCTTAATAGAAATTTACATAAAACATAAATAGAAATTTACATGTAGCCCTTAGGCAGGAAATAACAGAAACTTACAGGGACAAACAAAATGGAGGCTGCTTCAGCTAACAATGTCTCAACTAAAGGGTGAGTGGTTAGAGCAATTAAGGTTGTTGACCAGCCTTCCTGGCTTCCTGTCAACATCTCTTTTAGTTAAACTGATTTGTTTCCAGCATCAGGTCCCAAGAATTGTGGAGAGAGGGGAGAGAAGACACCGCAGGTATGCTAATGAGCAGGTCACTCAATCCTGCCGGGACCCTCTGAGAAACTGCGGAGCAAACCTGAGGATTGTTTCAACAAGCAGCAAGGAAGTGTGTGTGTTTACCCACCAGCTCTGCTTCTCCTTGGCTTGCCCTTCCTGTGGCTTTAACTTCCTGTTGTGTCTGGCTTGCTCTGAGCATGGATCAAGCTACTCCAGGGAGGTCTAAGGGGACAGGCACCAAGAGCATCTGTTTAGCATCCTTCAAGATTTTGCCCAAACCCTGGCAGGTGTGGCTCAGTTGGTTGGATGTTGACCTGTGCACTGAAAGGTTGTTGGTTTGATTCCCGGTTAGGGCAGATGCCTGGGTTTCAGAAGCAGCTTATGGATATCCTGCTCTCACCCTGATGTTTCTCTCTCTTTCTCTCCCTTTTTCTCTCTCTCTAAAATTCAATTAAAAAATATATATATACATATATATATATATATATATATATATATATATATATATATATATATATATATATGCCAAAGCAGGCCCTCCTTTGGTGTTCTCTCCCAGGTCACTCAGGCTAACTGCCATCAGGTAAATTGACATGAGCCCTAATTTAGGGCTAACATCCTGAGAACTGGGCCATGCTATTATCCTTGGTATCCCAGATCCCATGGTGGAGTCTGGCACTCAGGACAAATGTTCAAAAATGAATGGGAAGAGTGCATGGTGAGTCAGAATGTCCTCCATGGTGCCCTGAAGTGGATGGGGCAGGACTCAAAACAGTAAACTTTACATTCAAATGCCTGAGATTTGAACATCCAAGCCTTGAGAAGTGCTCAATGAGGGTGAGCTGGAGGGCATGGTGGGTGGGGGTGGGAGCAGAGGTGGAAGGAGAGAAGTTTCTAAGCCAGATTCCCAACACTCTCTTGGGGTAAGATCTCTTGGAAGATCACAAGGTTAGAGTGTTAGGAAAACCATAGCCTGCTGAAGGGAGGGTGGCAGGGGTGTGGGGGTGAGGAGACAAGCTAGTGATTACATGCTTGGCCACATTTATTTATTTTTAAATATATTGGTATTGATTTTAGAGAGGAAAGGAGAGAGAGAGAGAGAAGCATCAATGATGAGACAGAATCATTGATTGGTTGCCTCCTGCATGCCCCCCACTGGAGATCGAGTTCGGAACCCAGGCGTGTGCCCTGACCAGGAATTGAACTGTGACTTCCTGGTTCATAGGTCGATGCTCAACCACTGAGGTACATCTGCCAGACCACATTTATTTTTTGGAATTAGATTTTTAAAAAATCGGGAGTCATGGATCCTTGGTCTTAGAAGTGACTTTTAAACTTGTCTGGTTCCACTCTTCCCTGACCATTTTAGAGAGAGAATTTTGAGCCATAGAGAGGGAAGTTGGCTTGTCTGAAATCATATAGGTCAGTCCCAATTATCCAGTGAGAAGAAAGGGAGGCCTAATACTCACTGTTCTATTCTGGGATCTTGGCTTATTTGCACAACCAAGCAGGTCTCCCCTGCCCTGGCATTATTAGCACTGTGAGCCCTTTCCCACAGGTATGACTAAGTAAGTACACCTAGTGAGTGTCAGGTCCTTGGGCAGAGTTTCTAGGGATTCTGACCCCACCCCATTCCCAGAACTCTAGAAATACCCACCCTACGCTGGCTGCCCCAGAGAGCCAGAATTGGTGCTTTCCAAGGGGGCCCTGTTCACAGCTCTGACCGTCCATCTGGGGTGGGTTGAGGGGGCTGGTGGGTTGACAGGTGCCTACTCAGCCAGTAGCCCCTGCCCTGCCCCCCAGACACCAGCTGGCTCTTCTGAGGGCCCTTCCCCTAAGAGCTGGGATTGGAATGTACAGACTTGAAGACCGCATTCTTCTCTGACACCCGCGATAAGCTGGAGGAAGGGGAGGGAACTGTGGGAGGAGACAGTACCAGGTTTTCCAGTCTCCAGGCAGCGGGCTCAGGGTAATGGTATGCAGAAAAGAGGCTTTCAGGTGATAGGGACCGAGATTTCTGAGTGGGCTCCGCTGACGTGGCCCACCTGCCTGTGAGGAAATGATCTTGAGAGAATGAAATAGTCATGGGCTGAGACTCATGCTTATTTTCCCACTGAGGTATCACTCAGCAGCAGTAAGATTTCAGCTCAAGGATTTGCAGAATACTTAAAACTCCAAAAAAAACACAAAAAACCCACTTGAGATCCTTTTAAGTTCTGAAGTGGAAAAGATTCAAACAGAAATGAGAGGCCTATCTGCCATGTTGTTTGCGGCTGTAGAAAGTGGGACAAGACAGTACATAGGCTGTTTTTTATAAACCACATTTATAAAAAATCATAGAGGCGGCACAAGTATTTAAGGACTTTAAATTGGGACAGGATATTGGGCTCACATCTAAACACTGATACAGTTTTATTTTGTATAATGTCTATATATTCTTTTTTTTAAAATATATTTTTTTATTAATTTCAGAGAGGAAAAGAGAGATGGAAACATCAATGGTGACAGAGAATCATTGGTTGGCTGCCTCCCACACATTCCACACTGAGGATTGAGCCTGAAACCCAGGCATATGTGCTGGGAACCAATTCCAACATGTCATAATTACAAGAGTTTCATCAAAAGGTGGGTGAAGCTTGGGGGGGCTCAACAAGGGCTGAGCCACATATGTAATCACCTGTTGAAAGGGCCCCCCAAACCTGAATAGGATTGTCTACTGCCAGACAGTTCAGGGCATCTTAATCTATTGCTTCTGGTTGGCCAAACACATGAACAGCTGTAGGCTATTCCCCAATCTGACAATGCTTCTGTAAACTTACTCTTTGAAGTGTATTATCTCCACCTTGCTTTAGGAC